AAATTAAATACCTACCAGAAAATATGTTGCAAATGAAAACACACCTTTGTATACTTGATTTAAGAAATCTGACAGGAAATAATGAAGTCAGATTCTTAAACAGACTTATAGAGACATTTACAAATAAGAGTAATTTAAGAAAACAACCTCTGAAGGTTGAGGAAGGAAAAGAAATCAAACCCTCTTTGTGTTTAAAAACCAACAACATACAAAATCTGCCCATGGAGAAATAAAACAGACTCTTTAGGAATAGGCTACAATTTCATCAGTCTCGGTGGCCAATTGAAGGAAACAGCTTTATGCGCGTCACGTACCCAGCCATGACAAAAAGATCTGGTCTAGAACGGAGAAAAAACAAACCTCTTTTTCTGATCACCGCCCTCACTGGCTGAGGACTCTTTAGTAGCAGGGGGTTCCTCTGAATTAGCTTTGTCTTCTGCTTTCTTGGCATCTTCTTTGCTATCTTTGGCTTCGGGACCTGCGCCTTTGCCCGCTGGTTCCCCACTAGAGGCTTCCAGGCCTGGGGAGCGTTTGCTACTCTGATCGCTCACGCTCTCTACTACTAAAGAGTCAGAGTCCGGCTTCGCTTCCTCTATTGTCTGTTCACTTGTCTCCCCTTTCGCTACAACTAAACGCTTTGCTTCCTTCCTTGCCATAGCTTGGGCCGCTTTGCTGTCCAAATCTAAAGCATCTTCCTCCACCTGAGCGCCACCAAGAGCGTCCTCTTCCTCTGCCAGCCTCTTGCCTGGCACCACGTTACTGGCTTCCTGTGCATGCGCCCGCTCCGCTTCGGAAGTTTCTTCGTTAAGGAGCTCAGATTTACAAGTTTCCCCCAAAATGTCGAGTATTTTCTCATTTTCTACGGATTTAACAGGAATAGAATGGCACAAGATTTAATCACCAGGGAAATACAGCAATCACAAACGTGGAACTGGCATGGCTGCCACACTAACACCAAGAGAACTTCTAAGCTACACAGAGATTGGAAAACCCTAGTGTACACAGTGTTACAAGCTACCCTACCTGCTGTCTCACACACTACCCAATCAGCCCTACAGTGTTAACAGGGAAGAAAAATGCCCCCAACAGATTTAACAACAACCTTCTGGCTCATCCTTGATATTCTTCATGCAATCGTTCAGCTCTGTTTCTTCTCTAGTTAGCTTCCAGAGTCCCAGATGTTTAACTGAACGTATCAAGACACTGAGGGTTCAATTTTTAAATTTCTGTGAAATTCTTTTAGCAGACAGTCCAACATGAGAACTGGGCATCTTCTGATGGTGCATGAGTGTGTTTGCAGTCCAGAAAGTGAAAAGTATCTGTATGAAATTTCCATGAAGAAACTCTCTTCTTTCTTCTGTATCCAGTAACTAAACTTTACATTTTAATGCCCTGCAATATCTTTTTACTGCTTTCACTGCCTCTTTACTTAGTAACAGAGTTTTAGGTGTGTGCAATATCACAAGATCTGTTTACAAGTAGAATCTTTAGCTTTTAAACTGTGATTAACTTCTCTAAATCCATTTATGTAGCTTAACAGGTTTTTAAACCATTTCATTTCACTGGAAATATTTCAAAGATGACAAGCATTACTTCACAGATCTGGGGATATGATTGGGTTTCCAATCTCTATGACCCTGCATGATCTGGATTGTCCATCATAAAAATAATGCAACTTATGGTGTTTTTTTTTTGCCTGGGGTTTTAATAGTTAATGGTTTAAAAAGTATTAGTTGAAAAGACAGGAATATGTTTTTCTTTAACAGTACCTGGCTCCAAGTGTAGCTGCTCCATTTTCTGTGTGGGAAAAGAAAACCCAGAATGAGGATTCTATGAAATGTATTTGGTAACACAGATCACAGACTGATCACACCCTCCCACCCCATCCCAAGACTGAAAACTACACAAATTCACCTCCTACATTTCGCACTTGTCACCATCCACTGGAACTTCGGTAATTTTTCTGGCACATTAAAGCCTAATGAAAACATCAGCCACAATAGCATTCTCCAATCTAACTTGGAATGTTAAAGACACAAAGTGCTTTCATGTACCACATCAACTGCAGAGCAAAACCCAAACCCAGCTGCTACTTGATATAATCAGCAGCAGAAAGAAATTCATAGCACAAGACCATTTTTGTTTGCCACAAAGTGGGAGAAGTCTTGCTAGCTGACTGAAATTGGGGACAAGACCCAGGGGGTTCTCATCTGACAGACTGCATCCTGAGCAAGCCCCTGTATGTCTTGGATTCTGCTTCCATTCCATGTTATGGTCATGTTTTCTTAGAGTGAATACTGACAAGAACAATCTGAAACACAGCTACTTATTTCATTTACCTTCATTTCTATTAAATCAGAAGAAGAGGCATCTAAATTGTTTTCAATTTCATCATAATCTTCCTAAAAAAGTAAAAGAGGAATTACAGCACTTCTTGCAAAAAGTACCATTCACTTCTGCTGAAATACTGCATGCAATTCTCCCCAGCAATCACCGGTGAAGTACCTACCAGTATTTGACTAATTCCAATTGCTCCTTCAGATTGTGACCCAAGAACAAGGAGCAACGTAAGTATTCTTGATGATTAATATCTTTCCCCCGTCACCTTTCCTTTTCATTTCGACATTGTCTATATCAAAGTTACTCTCATTTAGAGAGGAAATTTATTTCACATCGCTGTGGTTACTGCACAGAACATGTTTTTCTATTGTCCCATGTTGTATTACGCTGAAATAACTCGCTCATATGCCCATAAACTTATTAAATCCCTTCTGAAAGGTTACAAAGATCTCTCCTCACCTCATTTTCCGTTAGCTGATCTGGAAGTTCTTTCATTTCTGCTTCGACATTGTCTTTATTATCAGACAGAGAATCAAGGATATTATCTGGACTATAGTCTTCTCCACAGTCCACAGCACTGCTGTTATCTATTTCAGCTTCATCTAACACACTGATATCCATCATGTCAATGTCTTGCAGGGTATCCAGACTAGCTTCGATATCATCCTACAGAAAGAAAAAGGGTGGATATGTATTTATTGCAAATGACAAACGTTAAATGATGTCTTAGCAACATGATTACACTTGCCTGCCCATCTCTGGAATTTTCCTCTAGTCCATTGTCTTCAACACCTTCTTCTTCTGATTTTCTTCCTAAAAATAGTATCATTGAAGTGAAATACAGCACTAAACGTCATAACATGTCTACTCTTCGCTGAATTAAATTTGACACTGAACTTGTTTCAACCAGCAATGATTAAAACCCTGATTCACAAGTCCAATACTGAAACAGAAGGAATCACCATGGGGCTCTGAGTTCTAGCTACATGGAAGCAACGGCGACTGTATTTGTCATACCTTTACTAGCTCTTTTTGGCATTCTCTTGTTGGTCAGTTCGGAGGCCACAGGAATTTCATCAGGATCTCCCCCTTCCTCCTCGATAGCCTGTGGGACACAGCAGCATGACATCCAGTGCACAACAGTGCAAAGATCTGTGCTGAGAACAGTGCTGATAACACAGGGGGGTTGTTGTTAGCACTCACAGTGTCAAGACCTGCTTTTCCTCCTGCCCTGCAAGCAGGATGGGGGTGTGTGACAAGCTGGGAGGGGACACAGCCAGGACTGTGGCTCTGACACACCACAAGGATAGTCCAGACCGTAGGATCTCATGCACAGCAACAGAACTGATGGGGCTGCTATGACTTCAGGTTGGACGAGGCCTTGGGTGATATGGTTTAGTGCGAGGTGCTCCTGCCCATTGGCAGGGGGGTTGGAACTTGATGATCTTAAGGTCCTTTCCAACTCTAACTATTCTATGATTCGGAGACTCAGCACCCCTCGCACTGACAGCCAGCAATTGTTTCTTTTAGTGTCACCTGCTTTCCTTGGGTGGGTTTCTTTTCCCCCTGAGTTTATCTTTCCCTTTTTAACATTATTAATTTCTCTTTACCACAATCCACGAGTTTTCTTTCTCTTTTACCATTCCAGTTCTCCCTCCTCATCCCCACCCGTGCGATACTCACCTGCCTATTCAGGTTAAACCCCGTTTTGGGGGCATTTTCACTCAGAAACCTTAGTGTGTCACCCTAACCCAGGTCATCCCACCAAGCAGCCGTTGGAAACATTCCATAGCAAAGTGCTGACCACACAACCCCACAGAAAGCTCAGGCTGAGGAGCAAAGTTCCCTTCCTCTGTCAACAACGCTCTTTATTCATTAGATAAGCTTAAAAGCGTATAAAACGGGGAGGGACCGCCGCAGGAACACGGGCGCACCCCACACACAGTCTCCTTCTCAACCTCTGGGACTATTAGAACCCATAAACGGATCAGGATCGACTCCCGCTGGTCTGGACTAAGGAAACATGTGAAATTACATTCCGGAACGGAAGCAAATATGGATTTAAGCGAGGTTTGGACACAGGAACCGAGGGGACGGGCTGGCGAGGGGGGGGGGTACGGGACGACACGACAGCGGCTCGCGCTCCCTCAGGCCCCGGCGCGCGCATGCGCCCAATCCCTCAGGCCCGGGACAAAGGACCCGGATGACATCTCCTTTTCCCCCCTCCTCCGCCACCGCCCCCTTCCCCCGCCGTGATCGCGCCTCACCTTCTTCAGTCGCTCCATGAGGACGCTCTTGTTGCCGCCGCTGTCCAAGTTACGGCGCTTGAGCTCGGCGCGGAGGTCGATGACCCGCAGCTCGCTCAGCCGCCGCGTTTCGGGTTCTGAGCCCAGAGCCGCGGCCGCACCAAGGGATGTGAAGTCCCCTAGCCCGGCCGCTGACTGACTCTCCGCCATTAAGGCACCCTTCGATGTTTCCACCGAGAGGCCGAACGCGGCACAACCGAGCACCTCACCTTTAGATCGCGGCGCAAGATGGTGGACAGGCCGAGGCGCGGCGGGGGAGCGGGCGCGCAATGCGCAGGCGGGGAGGGGCGGGGCTGGGCGAGAGGGTGGGCGGAGCCGTGATTGACAGCTCTGACGCATGCGCGCGGGGCGAAGTGGAGCGCGCATGCGCTCCGCGGCTCCTCCCCGCGCCCCCGCCTTTTACCTCAGCGCCTGTTGCGCTTGCCGCCATTTTGTGCCGCCGCGGCGGCTCTTTGGTTGTGTTCACGGGCGGTGCGAGCGGAACGAACGGCCCCATGGCGGACAGCCAGCCAGCGGCTGGGCCGGGAGAACCCGCCTCTCTGTGTGCGGCTGGGCTCCCCGGTTCGGAGCCTGAAACCCGGCGGCGGCTGAGCGAGCTGCGGGTGATCGACCTGCGCGCCGAGCTCAAGCGGCGTAGTTTGGACAGCGGCGGCAATAAGAGCGTCCTCATGGAGCGGCTCCGGAGGGTGAGCTGAGGGCTGTGGGGGGCTCGAGGCCGGCCCACCCGGTGCCCCGAGGAAAATGGCTCCAAACGTCTGTGGAGAGTGGACACCGGGCTTAAGGGGACAGCGGGGCCGGGGAAGGTTAATGTAGAGGCCCCACCGGTCCGTGACGAGCGGGGCTTAGATGTGCCGGGCCCCCAGACGGCGGGTGTCCGGGGGTAGCGGTGCGCTGTCTGTGGGGGCAGTTTGTGGGGTTGGGTCTCTGTGGGTGTCTGTTGTTCCTGACCATGCAGCGAGCCCCCCACCTCCTTCCTGGACCCACACAGCACAGCGTGTCTGCCGGGTGTCATATCCTTATGCTATGCACTGAGCATGGATTTAAGGTCCTGTTCGCTGTCTGCTAGGCTTTCTGCTCCGTGCTGATTCTTTCTTGGCTTTCCACATCGTCCCTTGTCCCCTTAGGAGCTTTTGGCACGTTAGCGGCATGCGGGTCACCTCCGTTGAACTGGTGCTTGTGGCTCCTAGGGCCGGGCTTCTGACGCTGTCGCGACACCGCGGGTCGGGATGGACTTTTTCTGCCTCTAGGTCATGCTTCTCGTCAGAAACCGTCCACCAACACCTTCACACTTTCCTGCGTGCTCGTTGCTTTGCTCTGGTGGGCTTTGGGTTGTTGCCTCTTGCCTAACTCAAAGCACTAGGTTGTTGGTTTGGTGGGTTTCTGCCTTGGGTGGCCTGCTTTTCAACTTGACATAATGCACAAATGGGATTTGTAGGTCTGTCTTGATATCTGTTTTTATCTTTTCCACTTAATAGGCTATTGAGGAGGAAGGGGGGAATCCTGATGAAATTCCAGTGGTTTCAGAAAATGTCATGAAGAGAACTCCAAAAAGAAGCAGCAAAGGTACAGGGCAGTTAGGGGGGATCTTCCACCCCATCCCCCTTGAGTTTTCTCGGGACTGACTCACAGAATGGAGCCTTGCTGGTCTTTCTTTTCCCCGAAGTCTGCTTTTCCTTTTGGTTTCATTTTGGCACTGGTGCTGGCTGCTTTGCAGTCTCAAAGCTGTACCTAACATTGCATTTAAGGTCCCTTCTGGCCCAGACCATTCTGTGATTACTTGCATCAGCCAGTATTGAGTAAAAGCTGGTTACTAAGCACAGTTCAATATGCTGTTCCTTTAATACCCTATGTTACTGATACTCTTCCTCCCCATTTGTGCTCAGGTTTCTAGAGCTGAGTGGTATGGGGTTAATCTGGTCCTTTATTGACAGAGCTTCGTGTGATTTAATAAGGCAGGAATTGGGCCACTTGAAGTATCTGTTGGTTTGTTCTCAAGGTTCTCTAAAATTTATAGCAGGAATTCAGAAATAATATTTGAAGCAGTGTCAGTCCTTTTAAAATAAATGAACCTTTATTTTTTTTACATGACTACCTTTATAAAGGGTTTTTTTTGAGGTAGAAATGCAGTTTCCAGCAAATTTATAAGAACCTGTGTGGCGTGTTCTGCTTATTCTTCTAGCGAATAGCCTCATTTTTCTCCCTAGAAGGCCAGTTTTAACCAATTTCAGAAATTGGATCTGTTTTCAGGCTTTCTTTGTACAGATTTTTTTTCTCATGGTGAGACATAGTCTTAACATAATCCTTATTTTAAAGTATTTTTTCTAAAATGCACATAGTTTGAGCTTGTTTTGTAATGAAAGAATGATGAAAGTTTTGTATCAGGGCTGAGCAGAATGAGCAGTTGAGATGAAGGGTTTTAATCGTTAATTTTAACTTTTTTTAACATGTAAATCCACAAGCTGAAGCTCCAGTGTTTTGCTGACTAATTTGTTTGACCCAGATTCTTGTCATTGGCATGATCTTAACATTTGCTTGCAATCTCAAAGGTGAAATCTTAATTGGGATGAGAAAAGTCACGTGTGGGTAAAATCAGAGAGGTCTTTTTCATTTTCAAGCCTCTGACAGATTGTCCTGGGATGTTTGGTGTCGGGATGGACATAGACAAGATGCTCCTCTCAGCTCTAGAACCCCTTTCCCTTTTTTGTTATAATGTGCTTGTAGTTTGGGGATGAAAAATCACGTTCCTATAAGGTGACACAACAGTTCTTGTTGGACGCTGAAGCCAGCGTCCTGTTGGCAGTAACAGCAGAGCTGACATTAGATGTGCAGCTGCTGAAGGGAACACTGCAAAAACACACACGGGGGGGTTGTTTGATTGCTTTTCTCTTCTTTCTGGTAAATGCCTGTAAAGAAAGAAAAGGTTGAGCTAATGATTACTGCAATAGCCTCAGCTGGGGAGTGCAGTGGTGCTTGAACTCATGACAGACCTTGGCCTGTAGCTGTTTGTCAGTCACTGAGCTGGGATGGACACTCAGTTGTGGCAGATCAGGAAAAAAGCAGATAACTAAAGTGAATGGCATGTGAATCTGATGGCAAAATGAAGCTTGAAGGGGGGACATATTGTGGTTTTCATTCTAATGATCATAATGTTGTTAGGACGTAGACCTGATGACGAGGGAGTAGAAGATAATGGTCTGGAAGAGGACTCAGGAGATGGACAGGTATGTGAGGCTGGGTTTGATGGGAAGTAGTGATAGTGTTGCCCACAAGTTACCATGACTATTATATGTGCTTTTTTTCTTTCTACAGGAGGATATGGAAACAAGTTTGGATAACTTGCAGGATATCGACATGATGGATATCAGTGTGTTAGATGAAGCTGAAATAGATAATGGCAATGCAGTAGATTGCGGAGAGGATTACAGTGCTGATAATATTCTTGACTCACTGTCTGATAGTAAAGAAAATACTGATGCAGAACTGAAAGAACTTGCAGATCAGCCTACAGAATATGCTCTAGGTAACTTGGAGGCATCCCCACAATTTTCAGACATTAAAGAAGAATCAAGAGAAATATCAGTAGTGATGGTATGCATCTGTTCTGTGTGTGGAATCGGTCTTTTTTTCCTTTATTTTTTATTTTTAAGTAGCAAACCAGTAGTTAAAGAGTATTTGCAACAATTTGGGGTTCATGGGCATTGCTTTTACTTTTACATATCTGTGGAAATAGATTTTCAGATGGTTGTAGATATGGGTCTAGAAATGACTGGCAGTCCAGAGAGCATTCATTCGAATCATGCTTTGAACTCTGCTTCACCTTCTGTTTACATTCCCCTCTTCGTAGCTTCACTTAGAAGGACGTGAGGCCTGCAAATGCTGCAGCTTTTCTTCATCTCAGCTGAGCAGCAACATTCTGGCAACTATGCTCCAAATGATCTTTCTCTTAAGAGAGAGTCTCGCAGTTCCTTCTTGAAAGTAGTTTTATGTTGACTTTCTATATTCATCTGCCTGTTGCACTGCTTATATGACATCGTCCATCTGGGCTAGAAGATAATTTCCCCCTCCAAAGTCAAGTGTTTATCTTCTGAAATGTACCTCAAAGCATTTAAAGGAGGTTATTTCTGCCCCATCTCATTGGGAAGTGTGACTCTTGCTTGTGCATGTACATTGTGTTGTTGGGATGGACTACAAGATCCTAATTTGGGGAGGGTGGTTCCCTCCCCAGATCTGAAAGTTGCAGAAATGAGCTTAATTCTATCCCTAAGCAGCTCCTGCCCCACACAGGCAACTAGAAATACCCACAAAATATTTCCTTTCAGTGACTGAATTACCATGTCCAGGTCAGCTCCTGCCATCTTTTATCACTAAACAGTTAGCAAGTCCCATAGACTTTTTGGCTTTATGTTGTTGCTGTAAATAAGAGATAAAGACAAGAGAAAGTTTGCTGTTGGAATCCCCATCCTTAAAAGATTTTGATGAGCTGCCCATCATATGAGAGGTAATGAGAAAGCTTGGGATTGGGAAGAGGCCTGAGAGTCAGGTTTTACCCTTCCTGGTTGATTTGGACCAATATATTTGCTTGATACCACTTTTCAGTGAAAACAAAAGCTTTTCTTTCTCATCCATGTTTCGTTCACAATACCATTTTTTGAACGGATAACAAGTTATCTTCTGTTTCCTTTCATAGGTGGAGGTTGAAGATGTTGGAACCACTTTAGATGCTGCTTCAGCTGATTTAATCGTAATAAAGGTAAATGGCAACCCAGTTTTTCTTTACAAACGCAAAAGGCTTAATATGTGCCTTGTATATTAAATGTAGTATTATATCTATTAAATATATTAAAACTGTGTGCTGAAACAGTGTATGTGCAGGTAGTACACAGTGAGTACACATCGCTCAGCTCATACCTCTGTGATGCATGTTCCATGCTGAGATTGGGAAGTAGACTGGATTCTTTTTACCTGTTGTATAAACCAACTCAGTACCTTAACATTCTGTTTAACTTCCATCACAAGTGTACGTATCCCATGAAAGCTGAAACCAGTCTATTCCTGAAACACTGGCTTGGTTTCCAGCTCGCTCCTGGTAGGTTAAGGAATTGTAGCTCCAGGTGGAGCTAGTGTTTGTATGGATGCTGTTTTCAGAGCGCAGACTTCTTACTATAGACTCTAGAGAAGGGCAACACAAAGATGAGCTTTGCTCTGCTGCTGACAGTTGTTGATCTCTTACCCATGGGAACATGCACCATGTGTTCAATATTTGGAGAAATACCAAAGTTCTTACACATCTTGTAAAACTTGAAGATGTTAAAAAGTAATGTTAAACCTTCTTGGGAGAAAAGCTCTTAAAAATCTATGTTTTCCAAGTGGAAATAGGCTAAACTATAGTAACTCTTCCCCTAAATTCTTTCCTGTATTGAGGAGGTTGGGAGTTGTTATTAAGAATAACATGTTGCCTTCTTACAGAGTAGTGATACTTCTCCCTTTCTTACCCTTTTTCACTGCAGGAACTTGAAGTGTTACCTTTGGAGCCAGGTACTGTTTTTTGGGGTGGGTTGTTTTTTTTTGTAGTTTCTTGGGGTTTTCTGTTTTGTTTAAAAGCCGAAAAAAAAAAAGTCCTGGGGGCATTGCAACAGTTTCATTCTTCATTGAATTCTTTTTTTGTGTCCCTGGTTATTTTAATGCATTACTGTAGTGTACGTTGTTATGGTGGACAGTCCAGGACATGCAGGGTCATGGAGATTGGAAACCCAGTCATATCACCAGATCTGTGAATAACCACTTTGGGAAAACATGTCTTTAACATGATTCAGAGGTTCCAGAGAGCTGGTACCTAGAGTGGAGTTAAGGAATGAGCCTTAAAGATGTAAAGGTTCTGCAAACAGATCTTGTGATATCACACTGTGCTGTAGTGCTGTGAATATCAAGACAGGAGCATAGGTAATGCAAAGCTTTGGTACAGAACTGCAATTAAATGAGTGACTGGACTTCAGAAGAAGGAACACACTGTCATCACAGGAATTTCCTATGGATCCGAGTTGATTTCTGGACTGCAAACACACTCATGCACCATCAGAAGACGCCCAGTTCTCATGTTGGACTGTCTGCTAAGAGAATTTCTCAGAAATTTGGAAATTGAACTCTCAGTGCCTTGATACGTTCAGTTAAACATCTGGGACTCTGGAAGCTAACTAGAGAAGAAACAGAGCTGAACGATTGCATGAAGAATATCAAGGATGAGCCAGAAGGTTGTTGTTAAATCTGTTGGGGGCATTTTTCTTCCCTGTTAACACTGTAGGGCTGATTGGGTAGTGTGTGAGACAGCAGGTAGGGTAGCTTGTAACACTGTGTACACTAGGGTTTTCCAATCTCTGTGTAGCTTAGAAGTTCTCTTGGTGTTAGTGTGGCAGCCATGCCAGTTCCACGTTTGTGATTGCTGTATTTCCCTGGTGATTAAATCTTGTGCCATTCTATTCCTGTTAAATCCGTAGAAAATGAGAAAATACTCGACATTTTGGGGGAAACTTGTAAATCTGAGCTCCTTAACGAAGAAACTTCCGAAGCGGAGCGGGCGCATGCACAGGAAGCCAGTAACGTGGTGCCAGGCAAGAGGCTGGCAGAGGAAGAGGACGCTCTTGGTGGCGCTCAGGTGGAGGAAGATGCTTTAGATTTGGACAGCAAAGCGGCCCAAGCTATGGCAAGGAAGGAAGCAAAGCGTTTAGTTGTAGCGAAAGGGGAGACAAGTGAACAGACAATAGAGGAAGCGAAGCCGGACTCTGACTCTTTAGTAGTAGAGAGCGTGAGCGATCAGAGTAGCAAACGCTCCCCAGGCCTGGAAGCCTCTAGTGGGGAACCAGCGGGCAAAGGCGCAGGTCCCGAAGCCAAAGATAGCAAAGAAGATGCCAAGAAAGCAGAAGACAAAGCTAATTCAGAGGAACCCCCTGCTACTAAAGAGTCCTCAGCCAGTGAGGGCGGTGATCAGAAAAAGAGGTTTGTTTTTTCTCCGTTCTAGACCAGATCTTTTTGTCATGGCTGGGTACGTGACGCGCATAAAGCTGTTTCCTTCAATTGGCCACCGAGACTGATGAAATTGTAGCCTATTCCTAAAGAGTCTGTTTTATTTCTCCATGGGCAGATTTTGTATGTTGTTGGTTTTTAAACACAAAGAGGGTTTGATTTCTTTTCCTTCCTCAACCTTCAGAGGTTGTTTTCTTAAATTACTCTTTTATTTTTGTCAACTGCAAACCAGAATTGTCCGGTTGAGGATATGAATCCCATATTTCCTGTCAATCTTCCATAAATTTGCACAGATAGTGTTTATTTCAGAACTAATTTACTGGTAGGTATCCAACTTTTAGTGCACAGTCTAGAATTAATGATCTTTTTGCATATGGGTATTTGAATAACGTGGTGTTTTGTCTTTAGCCCTGGTGAGGAGGACAGAGATCCAAAGATGATCTCAAAGGATGAGAAAGGTAAGTTCTGGATGGATTTTGCTTTGTTTTCTTAAATATACAAATTACTTGAGGGGAAAAAATGTTGTGGGGCCAAATCTAACCAAGTTTGGAGTTCAGAAGTTCATTTTTGCAGGATGCAATGCATGTATTGATGTTAAGATTGACTGGGAGAGGTAGAAGTAAACTGGCATTTGGAGCTACTTACAAACACCAGAGAGGGACTTTTCATCAGAGTCTGTAGCAATAGGACAAGAGGTGATGGATTCAAGCTGAAACAGGGAAAGTTCAGTTCAGATTAGATGTAAGGAAGTTGTTCTTTACTGTGAGGGTGCTGAGGCCCTGGCACAGGTTGCCTAGAGAGGTGGTAAATGCTCCATCCCTGGCAGTGTTCAAGGCCAGGGCAACATGGTCTAGGGTGATGCATCCCTACTTGTGGCAGGAGGCTGGAACTGGATGATCTTAAGGTCCTTTGCAACCCAAACCACTCTGTGATTCTATGAAGGAAAAAAATAGTGGGGTTTATTTTTTTAAGGTCATTACCATTTGTGTTCTTGTGCTTCATGGTCTTTTCTGTTTGGTTTGTTTGTACCTTAGGCCGTGGGGGCAGTGGCTCTGGCAGAAACTTGTGGGTTAGTGGTCTTTCATCCTCTACTAGAGCTACAGACTTGAAGAATCTGTTCAGCAAGTATGGAAAGGTATGGGGCAGATATGTACATTAACAAACCCTTACAGCTATTTCTAAGGGTGACCTTAAATTTAGCTCTTATTTTTCCTCATGAATAACTGGGGAGGGTAAGCACTGACATTTCTTGTGTTCTTCTGAAACTCTTGTGTCTGAAAGTAGCTTTATGAGGAGGGTTGCCTGAAAGTCACGTTTTGGAGAATCTCTGTGCAGAGACATGTAAAAATGGGGTGTCTCCTGACAGGAGAGACTGGTGGGTTGTCATCAAGTCTGCTGAAGCCTAATTGTATCTCTTGGGTGTCCAGTTGATGCTGGTTTAACCTGTTCCATTTTGAGGGAATGAAACAGAACAGTTCCTGTGGCAGGGGGCTGGAACTGGATGAGCTTTTAAGGCCCTTTGCAACCCAAAGCATCGCATGATTCTATGCAATGATGATTAGGATTTATCTGGCAACAGATCTGCAAGCACAGAATGATCTGGTTTTTCCCCAAAGGTGGTTGGTGCCAAAGTGGTGACCAACGCTCGCAGCCCCGGCTCCCGCTGCTATGGCTTTGTCACCATGTCAACATCTGAGGAAGCCACCAAGTGCATTAATCATCTCCACAGGACAGAGCTGCATGGCAAAATGATTTCTGTAGAAAGGGTAAGTGATGGCTATTTCATGACACTGCAATGAAAATTAAACGGGGGCAAGTCGCAGGTCTTACAATACAAATATTTGTGCTTCAAATTGCAGGCAAAGAATGAACCAGCTGGGAAGAAGCCTTCAGACAAAAAGGAAGGGGAAACAAGGAAGGAAAAAGACAGGCACCATTCTTCAGAGCCCAAGTCTGAGAAGTAAAGTGGTTTTGGGTATTTTTTTGGTGTTTAAAGACCACTCACTTGAACTGCAGCTGTGTGAGCAAAGTGAACAGTAACTAATAAATCGCAGTGTCTTGCTTCACTCTGCATCTGAAATGTAGGAGTAATACTGGGAAAGATGAAATAGGTGGTGTCCAGCAGCAAGTGCATCTTAATTTGTTCTCTGTTCAGAAATCTGAAGCTTTTTTAGGGGTTAGTATCAAATCTTGTCAGTTTTATCAGGAGATACCCAGTCAGCCTGTTCCTAGCTATAAACCCTGCAGTACATGTTGGCTTCAGCACAGCAGATGTAAGGGTTGGGAGTGGAGGTTTTGGAGAGTACTTGTTGTGTTGAGGGTGTTTTTGGGGGGTGGGGGGGTTTACATGGTTGGCTTGGTCAGAATGGGTGTATGGCACTTCTTGTTAGGTCCCCTACTAAAGCAAAGTTTACCTCTAGGTCTGTTGGTGTTAAGAAGGAGGAGAAGCCTGACAAAAAAGATGATGCTAAGAAAGCAGAAAAAGATGAAAAAGAAGGAAAAGAGAAAGATGACCAAAAGGCAGGATCCTCTGATAGATCCAGGGCAAGCAAGTCAGGTAATTCCAGCTGCCTTTCAACAAACCTCAGTAAAATCCCTTTTTACTGCTTTAGTATCCCAATGGTTTGAAATTCAACAAGGATTATTGAATCTCTTACACGATATTTATTATTGAATGGATTTTGTTTTCTAGCGAGTCGAGGAACCGAGAGGACAGTGGTGATGGATAAATCAAAGGGAGAACCAGTTATTAGTGTGAAAACGTCCACATCAAAAGAGAGGGTAAGGACAGAAGAAAGCCTTTATGTCAAAATACGTGACAAGCAGCTATTTATGCATGTAGTTGAAGGGGGTTTTGCCTCTTGGGAACAGTTCTTTTCTCACTTTTAGAAAGCATTAGGGTGTTCATGATGCTGTAGAGGTAAATGCTGGTGCTTCACCTTCTTCATAGCTTTTGTTAGTGCTGTCTCAGTCACAGACAGAGAATTGCAGTGTGAAAATAGTGTTAAGATGATGTGTTTCCCCAAGTATGGAGCGTAGTGACTGGTGACCTTTAAAGCCACATATCACTTGCCACCGACACAAGTCACATCATGTGCCTGAAGTATTTATATATACAGAAACCCATTAAACTTGTAGCCAAAGGCAGGGTGCTTTTCCCTGCGTGGCTTTCCCATGGAATTCCAACATCTCTGGGAAGGTGGGCTGTCTGTTCTGCTCAGGTTGGCACAAGGTAGGCCTTTTATGTTGGGATTTCAGCTGAAAAACATTCCATGTTGAGCTCCTGTGTTGTTTTGCTTGAACTCAGAGTACAAAGAGCCAGGATCGCAAATCCGAGAGCAAGGAAAAACAAGATATTTTATCCTTTGATAAAATCAAAGAGCAGCGAGAGCGGGAGCGGCAGCGACAGCGGGAGCGGGAGATCCGGGAGACGGAAAGGCGCCGGTGAGTTCTCCCACATTCCCCCTCGCCTTTGGGGCAGCATTTGGGTTTCCTTCCTTCCTCTGTGTTTGGAACAGGCCATGGCCTTCCAGCAGTAGGATCTCACATGGATTTGGTGCTAATCTCTTGATCGAGCATGAATAAGGCAAAATGGTGAAGCTTTTTACCACTAAAATCTGTCTTCTCCAAGCTTGTGCTTTTCAAGAGGCTCTTGTGGAGCAGTAACCTTTGTAGGTGTTTCCAGGTCCCCTCCATTTGCATTTCCATGTTTGACTTCTTTCCATGGAAGCTTGTAAATGCTTTTTCTGTTTGTCAGACTTCTGTCTTAGGACCTGTGAAAGCTTTCTCAGGGCTGATGGAGATACTGTGCTACTCGCACAGAAAGCTCATCCTTGCTTTTCATCTAGATCTTTCTTCCCTCCCCCCTAAACTAAATAGCTGTGATTTAGATGAGCTCATTCCCATTTGAGCAGGTAGTGGGAAGAACAGAACAAGAAACCCCACTATAACAAAGAAGCCGTAAAGATAAAGCTGAGACCGAAGCTCCTGGACTGACCCCAAAGTGTCTCTGTTTCCCTCAGAGAGCGAGAGCGGCGGGATCGGGAGCAGCGGCTTCAAGCTATTCACGAGCGGGACGAGAGGCAGCGGCTGCAGAGGGAGCGGGAGCGGCTGGAATTCCAGAGGCAGCGGCTTGACAGAGAGCGCCTGGAGAGGGAGAGGTTGGAGAGGGAAAGAATGCACATAGAGCAGGAGAGGAGGCGAGAGCAGGAGCGGATCCAGCGGGAGCGGGAAGAGCTGCGGCGTCAGCAGGAACAGCTCCGCTATGAACAGGAGCGGAGATCTGCCTTGCGGAGGCCTTACGATCCTGATGGCAGGTAATGATAACCATGATGGGATCCCAAACTCCAGTCAGAGCATTGTAAAGCCTTTGTAAATTGGGAGTAAATTGCTGAAGCAGTTGTGGGAGCTCACAACTGAAAGACTATTTCCGTATTGCTTTGAACACTTGGATATTGAGCTGGAGGGGAAACCAGATGTTCATTCTCTTCTCACTGTGAGCACCATTTTATTACAGCAGGTTTAAAGCTCTTATATCACAAAGAGGAGTGACCAAGAGCAGAAACTGCTGGTTGGTTCTGAAGCGGGATTGCTTGATGAGATACTCATCCTCTTCTTGCATCAGCACATGCTGAACTCAAGCTTTAGTGTCAATGCACCTCACCTCCTCTGAAGTGCAGTGCAACTGAAGCACCCAGGAGTTCCTAGATATAAGTCAAAATCAATGGTTTGGACAACTGCATTGAATGAAGTTTGCTCTCATGTGATCAGGGAGGAAGGTGGGTTTGGGATCACTACTGATGGTGACCTCCTTTGCAGGCGGGATGACCCGTACTGGCCCGAGGCGAAGCGGATGGCGCTGGACGATCGGTACCATTCTGAGTTCAGCCGCCAGGATCGCTTCCATGACTTCGACCACAGGGATCGTGGCCGGTACCAGGATCATTGTTTGGACAGGTTGGCAAGGAGATGTCTTTTTTTTTTTTTCCCCCCCTTACATCTTCGTGAAAATGAGTGTCTTTTTGTGGAAGGGTGCCAAAAGAGAAGAGCAAAAGAAACAACCTGGGGTCATTTCTTGTGTTTAATTTCATCCGTGCTTGCAGTCCTGTGTTTCCATTGGGTTTGGACATGCTGGAAAGAGGCTGCATAGAGATTATAAGCCAAGTCCTAATGCAGTCTGCCATCGTGCCAAGGGAGATCCCAGAACTGCTCTGGAGATGGATGGAAACCTGGTTTACAAATCCCTGTTCATTAGCCTGAGCTTGAACCGTTTCCTTTTGCTTCAAAGCCTTTCCTGCTTTCAGGTTTGCAGCCCAACTAGTGCAGCTGTTTGGTTCCACAGTTCTGCATTGTGCTTATTGAGACTTCTGTCTTGCTTTGCTTTTGCTTGAAACTCATTTCTCATAGCAGAAGGGTCACTCTGTCTTCTCCCTTGGAAGCATCAAGGGCCTGCCCATGCCTCGGTGATGCTTCACATGCCCTTATTACAGTAATAAGTGCCACTTTGAGCTCTTTGTGTGCTGTGGAACACAAACTCATTTGAGTATCTGACCACTAAACACACATTGGCATTCAGCTCTACAGCCTAATGAAGATAAACTTTCCTGCCCTATTTCATACAGACATTGGCATTAGGATCACTGTGTGGATTCAACCAAAACTTCTCTTTCTGTTCCAGAAGAGACGGTTCGAGGGGGATACCGGATCGTGATGGGCAGGTGGGTGATAACCAATACCCACTGCACTTGAAAGCCACACAAGCCAACCCCAGACTGGAAAGAACACAGTGCACACACTTCCTACTTCACCCATCAGAGGGGTCCCTTCTCTGATGTGTATCTGTGAGATAACGGGTGTCCTAATTGCACAAGGGAGGTGACTGTGAAAACCAGTTCCCCAGTGGTGTGCAAAACCTGTCATATCTGAAAAAGAGGTAGGAAGGAGGCAGATACTCTATGTAAACATGAATGATCTGGAGTTAGAATGAAGCCTCAAAGCCATCCTAGAAACCAAAAACCACCCTCCCCAACTAAAAACCTTGCATCAATGAGAAGGTGCTGTAAAGCAAACACCTGGAGCGAGCCATGGGACCAGTAAACCCAGAGGCAGGTCCTGCTCTTTCTGTCAGCTTATAGAATCCAAACTGGGAGGAGCTGGTTTTATGCTCTTGAAAGAAAACCTGTATCAATGCTGAATATAATGGTTCCATTTGCTTTCCAGCACTACCCGGAGGAGCGGCATGGAGGGCCCGAGCGGCATTCCCGGGATAGCTGGGGTGGCTACGGCTCCGACCGGAGGATGAATGAAGGGAGAGGGATCCCCCCCCCAACCCGGTTAGTGATTCCTTGCTTCTTCACATTGAAGTTCTTGGTGTGAACCTTTGAAGGGCGACACAAGTGAATCCTGTCTCCAGATGGAAGCACATTCCCACGTGTCAGGAGAGCGTTGGGAGTGAGGAGAGAGGCGCTGCCCAGTTTAGCTCGGCTCCTGACGGGTTCTCTCCTGAATAACTTTCTCTTCTGCAGCTGAAATTCAGCCCCATCCTGGATGCTCCAGTTCCACCTCCCCCAGTCTCAGCTGGGCTTAGGGCTCAGGGTTTAAGCAAACTGGAGTCATCATCTCCAGTGTTGGGGGTGGAGAACTGAGCCCCATCTGGTTCTATCTCTTTAAACCAGCCAGTCAAGCGGGGCACAGTCCAGAGGCATCATGTCCAGTTCTCCCTCAACCAGCCCACCAGGCATGGCCTAAATCCACCAGCCAGTCAAAGAATTGTTCCATGTTTAAGTACATCAGTCCACTGTGCTGCTAACGCTGTCTCTGTGGAGCAAAGAGGCGCTTTGTGGTGTGGAGGATGCTGTCCAACAGCTTCTCTTTGCCCAGTTGTTAACTACAACCATTGGGTCTTGGTTAACCATGGAGTAGCTCCGGATGGGTGCAGGGTTTGGCTTCCCCCTGTGCTGCTCAACGAAGAAGGGACCCACTAGAAGATGTTCTTTTATGTTTTGAAGAGCTGGCCGTGGCTGGGGAGATGATGGCCCAAGGTTAGAGGGGCACCGAGATCGTTCATGGCAGGGCAGTGTGGCTGGAGGAGTGATGGGACGGGATCGTGAGCAAGGTACACTTGCTGCTTCCAGTGTGGTTCCCCCTCTTCCTGCTGCTCAACTTCCAGCAGCAGTTCCAATTCCTCAGCAGCATTGCCAAGAAAGCAAATGAAATTCTGGGAAGGAGGTGGTTTTTTCTTAGGAAAACACAAAAGTCTGTCTTTTTTTTCTTTTTTCCTTTTTTTTTTTTCCTTTTTTTTTTTTCTCCTTTTTCTTTCCTTTTTCTTTCATTTTCAATTAGGTGGTGATAGAAGCATGCCTGGTCAGTCAGGACCAGGCCATGTGGTGAATCGAGGAGGGCTGTCAGGGTAAGGAGCTTTGTCAGAGTGCTTCTCATGTCGTGATAATAGTTGCCCTGTCTAACAGAAGACATCCCTGTCTCAGTCATGACAAAACACTTTCCGCCTTCTCCTTAACTTATGGATTGGCAAGTAGAAAACTCACCCAAAGCCACCTCGTTGCTCCGAGCCCCCTGCCCCTTCCTGGCCTCATCTCAGGGGGGGTTGCTCTTGGTTGCAGGCGCGGAGGCTTCACCCAGGTTGGGAACCAGAGCCAAGTCCTGCCCAGCACCGGGATCCAGGGAGTGTTTGTGGGACAGGAGCGGCTGCCCCGGCCCCCGGAGCCACGCTTCACCCGCCGCTACTGAGAGCCCCCATCTGCCCCTACAGAGCTCAATCTCTATTTTTCTTTAATTGACAACGAGTTGTGACTTTTATGCCCCTTGACTTTGCCAGGAGAGCAGGAGGCTGCTGCTGCCTCGTAGCCAAATGGTAACTTTGCGTCAGTTTGGTTTTATTCTTTTCTTTTTGTAATAAACGTCTTCTTGGTCAAACATCCCCTCACGTTTCCGGTAGTTGAAACATTCCATTTTGCAGTAACAATAAACTCCGTTTTGGCTGCTCCTCTCTTGGTCCTAGAGTCCTTGGTGTAGGGGGCTGGGAGGGCATGGAGGAAAGAGATGGTTCATTCACTCCTGTTCAAGTGGAAACAGTTTTGGGGGGTAAGGGAGGGGATGCTCCAGGGAGACCACCCCTAAGGTCCAGGAGGGATATGGAGCTGTTGGGGTGAGGCCATGGAGATGCTGAGAAAGCTGGGCTGGGGCAGCCTGGAGAAGAGAAGGCTCCTGAAGGGGAGACCTCAGAGCAGCTCCAGTGCCTAAAGGGGCTGCAGGAAACCTGGAGAGGGGCTTGGGACAAGGGGCGGTGGGGACTACATTACCCAGAGAGCATCGCGCTGAGGGGGCGTGGTCAGTGGCGTCGCGGGCGGGGCTTGAGGTCGTGCAGGGTCATGGCCGAAAACGCGCTGGGGGACCCCCTAGGGGTGCTGAGGGACACTAAGGAACCCCATAAGGGGCTGTGGCACCCCATAGGGATGCTGAGGGACACGAAGAAGCCCCATAGGGATGCTGAGGGACACTAAGGAACCCACAAGGGGCTGTAGCACCCCATAGGAATGCTGAGGGACACAAAGGATCCCCATAGGGATGCTGAGGGACACTAAGGAGCCCCCTAAGGGGCTGTGACACACCATGGGGATGCTGAGGGACACTAAGGAGCCCCCTAAGGGGCTGTGACACACCATGGGGATGCTGAGGGACGCTAAGGAGCCCCATAAGGAGCTGTGGCACCCCATGGGGATGCTGACGGACACGAAGGAGCCCCACAAGGGTCTGTGGCACCCCATAGGGATGCTGAGGGACACTAAGGAACCCCATAAGGGGCTGTGGCACCCCATAGGGATGCTGAGGGACACTAAGGAACCCCATAAGGGGCTGTGGCACCCCTTGGGGATGCTGAAGGACACTAAGGAGCCCCATAAGGGGCTGTGGCGCCCCATAGGGATGCTGAGGGACACTAAGGAACTCACAAGGGGCTGTAGCACCCCATAGGGATGCTGAGGGACACGAAGGAACCCCATAGGGATGCTGAGGGACACTAAGGAGCCCCATAAGGGGCTGTGGCACCCCATGGGGATGCTGGAGGACTCGGTGGAGCTGCGGGATATGGGGAAGGGGTGTCTGGGATGCTTCATCCCCACCATCCACCTGTGATGAGAGCGTGTCCTGCTCTCCCCTCGCAGGGACAGCGAGAGACGCTCCCTGCATCAGAGCCCTGGTCCGGGGCAGGGGGGGGCGCTGCAGCACCCGCTCTGTCCCCGCTCTGTCCCCCCCCGCTGCACGGAGCCGTCTGTGTCACCATGCACCAGCCCCGAGGGACCCCGCTCTGTGCCGCCGCCGCAGCCGTGTTTGCTCAGGGAATGGATGAGCAGCAGCCTCGGGGCTGCGATGGGGAGGGCTCAGTCCTGGGGGAGCCGCTCTGTGCCCCCCGGCTCTCGGGCTTGCTCCGCATGGACGTGGTGGTGACGTCGCTCCCAGCCGCTGCCTTGGGGCTCGTGTGTCCCATGGGATGCAGCTCCCAGGGATGTGTCTCCCCCATCCCCTCGGTGACAGCGTCACGGTCTGGGGGACACACACACGCACCCGGTGGGTGCCTGCTCCCCGCCTGCGTCAGCGGGTGTTTGCCCACGCCAGGGGCTGTGGGGTGAGTGCTGCAGGAGGGGGTATAAAGGCCCTTTGAGCCCGGCACATCCATGAGCATCCAGGGACGCATCCGGCACCGGGAGGATGGGAAGCGCTTGGCTCTACCTGCTCTGCCTGGTTGGATCCGGCCTCATCCTGCTGGGCACTGCGGAGCCGGGGCTGGGGCCGGCTGAGAGCCTACCCAGGCAGCAGCGGGAAGGGACAGAGCTGGTAAGGGGCAGAGGGAGCGTTGCCTGCAGGGGATGAGGCCTCAGCATCCCCTGCATGACTCTGGGGCACCTTGAGGTGTTCCTGCTCCTGCTGCCCTGCTTTGGGGGCTGGTTCTGGCCGTGCTGAGGAGCCCCAGGGTATTGAGGAGGGGGAGACTGAGACCCCACCACTGTTTTTCCACCTCTGGATGCTCAGGGAGCTCCTCACAGTGACTCCTGCAGGGACATCTTGCAGTGCTTGGGTTGCTCTGGGTTGGGTGTGATGAGGGGAGATGCTGTGCAAGGTGATGGGTGCCAGGGAGGGGTCGTAGGGGCTTGCACCTGGGTGGTGGAACCCATCCCAGCACCACAAACCCCTTGATCCCTCCAGCAGGGATGGACCCTTAGCCAGGCACAGGGTGCACCCTTAGGGGATGGGGCTGCTGGATGGTGGGAGAGGATCCAGCACCAGCATCCGGAGACTTGGGGGGTGAGGCGGGTCCGGAGCCCCCTGCGCACCCCAAGGGGGTGACCCTGTGCTGTGTGCTGCAGGTCGAGGCGCTGCAGGAGGTGCTGGGGAAGCTGGGGAGCAGGGAGCTGCCGGCGCTGGAGAAGAGGCTGAGCTGGGTGCCCTTGGTACGGCCGGGTCGGGGGGGCGGTGGGGATTGAACCCTGGGGCTGGACCCTTTGGTGGGTCCAGCCCCGGTGCTGAACGGTGCCGCCCGCAGTGCGAGCCCGGGGAGCCGTGCGCAGTGCGGAAGGGGGCCCGGATCGGGAAGCTCTGCAGCTGCCCCCGCGGCACCGTCTGCAACCTCTTCATCCTCAAGTGCTCCTGAGGGACCGGGGATGCTGCCACCCGCTGGGATGCTGCTGGGGGCTTGGAGGTGCCTGCTCAGCGCCCTGGTCCCCTGGGGTGCTGCGGGTGCCCAGGGCCACATTAAATGACTTGGATTCACAGCTCCTGCCTGCTCTTTGGGGGGTTCTGGGCTGGGGGCCTGGGGTGCGTCCCACCCTTCTATGGGTCCATGTGGGGTGCACGGCAGGGGCACGGGGTGGGCTCAGGCGGTCTTGTACCCATGGCACCGGTTACTGCTGCTCTGCTGGAGGCTGACGGGTAGGGAAACGCTTTGGGAAGAGAGGGCGAGCATCCCCCATGCCCTGCGCTGCACCGCACTGCACATCCCATGGCCGCTCAGTCCCGCAGCGCACTGCGCTCACTGCACATCCAAACCTCGCACTGCACATCCCATGGCCGCGCAGTCCCGCAGCGCACTGCGCTCACTGCACATCCAAACCCCGCACTGCACAGCCCATGGCCGCTCAGTCCCGCAGCGCACTGCGCTCACTGCACATCCAAACCCCGCACTGCACAGCCTCGCCCCTGCGCTGCACCACACAACCCCATCCCAGCACTGCAGTGCACTGCACAGCCCCAGCTCCGCGCTGCTTCTCGTCGCTGCATCGACCACCCCCAGCTCCACACTGGGCTGAGAACCACTTGCACGGCACCGCACCGCACCGCACCCCTTGTATTGTATTGTATTGTGTTGTGTTGTATTGTATTGCATTGCATTGTATTGTATTGCATTGCACCGCACCGCACCGACAGCCGGACCCCACCAGAGGCGACCCCACCCCTCCATTGCCCTTTTAAGGCCGCCCCCCCACCTCCGCTTTCCCCCAGTCCGTTTCCCCCGCCGCGCTATCCGATTGGTTGGCGGTGACATCAGTGGGCGTGGTTTGCCGGCGGTGACGCTGCGGGGGGGGCGTGGCGTGGCCCGGCTCAGGCGGGCGGGGGGCGCCGAAGATGGCGGCGGCTCCGGTAGCGGCGGCCGCTCCTGCGGGCCCGCGCCGTTACTCGCTCTTGGCCATCGTGGGGGGCGGCTGCCACCGGCCGGGGCTGCTGGCGGCCGCGCTGCAGCAGCTGGAGCGAGGTGAGCCCGCGGCTACCGCGGCCGCACGGCCCGGGATGCTCCGCGACTCCCGCCCGGAGGCACCCGGGCCTGACCCACCCCCCCCCCCCCGACCCCTGCTCCCCTCCGCTCATCCCGACCCGGAGCCACCCGGTCCTGCCCCGAGGCTCCCGGGTTTGGAGCCCCCCAAACGCCCTCCCAGCATCTGCCCCCCCTTAAACTCCAGCATCTGCCCCCCCCCACCCCATTATCTGCCCCCCCAATCCCAGGATTTCCCCCTCCCCCAAACCCCCAGCATCTGCCCCCCCCAACCCCAGGATCTGCCCCCCAAACCCCAGGATCTGCCCCCTCAAACCCCCAGCATCTGCCCCCCCAACCCCAGGATTTCACCCTCCCCCAAGCCCCCAGGATCTGCCCCCCCAAACCCCCAGCATCTGCCCCCCAAGCTCCCAGGATTTGCCCCCTCAGCATCTGGCCCCTCTCCTGTCGCAGACCCCTCCTCCGTCATCAGCCCCCCCAGACCCCAGCATCTTCCCACAGAGCCCCCCAGCATCTGCCCCCCCCAAGTGCTGCCCCACACAGGTCCCTGTGATCTGCCCCCCCCCAGGACCTTGCCCCGTGCAGCCAAGGGGGGCTCACCGAGGGGGTTGCCCTAGACCATGGCATCAGAGCACCCCATGGAGCGGCTCCCCCAAGTCATAGTTGGGGGGGGGGGAACACCCCACCATGGCCCCAGCACCTTGTGCAACCCCTGAGGGTTCGTGCCTTGCGCCATCGGTGGCTGGGAGCCGTTGGGGACACCCCCAAACCCCCCCCACAATGGGGTCCTGAAGGGCTTGGGGGGGGGGGGGGATGCTTTGGGGTTTCCTGCTCCCCACATTGGGCACCAGCTCCTCTGGCACCATTCATTCCTTTAAATAGCACTTGGAAGCATGGCCCCAGGGCTGGGATTTGGGTTGGGAAAGCTGGAGCCGCCCTAAGTCACTGCACAGGGCGCTCAGCACCGGGTGCATCCCCCTCCTACCGGGGGCTGCTTGGGGTTGGGGTCACCCCGAAAGCCACCGGGGTGACTCGGGGGATGAGGATGGGGAGGGACCCTGCAAGGGGATGGGGCTGCTGCTTGCACAGAGTGGTGCTGCAGTGTGGGTGCTGCAGTGTGGGTGCTGCAGAGTGGGTGCTGATGGGTGCTGATGGGTGCTACGGGGCTGAGCCCTATCCTGTCCGTCCCCCCCTCTCCACCTTCCAAGGGATCCGCTCCTGGGACATCGACCTCTCCTCCTGCAACCTGGACGAGCAGCTGAAGCTCTTCGTGTCCCGGCACTCGGCCACGTTCTCCAGCATCGTGAAAGGTAAAAGCCTGGGGGGGTTTGGGGGGCACAGACCCCCCGACACCCCCCCCCCCCAGGGTGAGGTCAACTCATGGGGTGCGTTGGAACACAGGAACAGGCTTTGCTTTATGCCCCCCCCCCCATGGCCAAACCCCGTGATCGCCCCATGTGAGAAACCACTTCCTTCCCCACCTGGGGCAGGATGGGATTCCCATGGGAGGAAGGGATAGGAGAAGGAGGGGACTGTTCTAATGCCTCTTCCCCACTGTGTCCCCTTTGTCGCACCCCCTGCAGTGTGTGTGGGGGGGCTGTGGGAGGTGTTGGGTCTCCAGTGGGTACCAGTGTGTCCCTGTCTGTCCCATTCCCATGGGATGAGGGTGGGTGTGAGCCCTGGCTCCCTGCAGGTCAGCGGACCCTCCACCACCGCGGGGATGTGCTGGAGACCCTGGTGCTGCTCAACCCCTCTGACAAGTCCCTGTGTGATGAGGTGAGAATGGAGGGGGGGTCAGGACATGTGGCCATGGCCCCTTTGGAGCTGCTGGCACAGGGGTGCCACAGGATGGAGCCTGGTGGCATCTCCGTGTCCCCTCCATCCCTGTATCCCCTCCACCCCTTTATCCCCTCCACCCCTTTATCCCCTCCATCCCTTTATCATCTCCATCCCTATGGCCCCCCTCCACTCCTGGGTTCTGCCTTCATCCCCATGCCCCTTCATGGTTGTGTCCCCTCCATCCTCGTGTCCCCCTTCTATCCCTGTGTCCCCTCCGTCCCTGTATCCCCTCCATACTTCTATCCTCTTCATCCCCGTGTCCCCCTTCCATCTCCGTATCCCCCTTCCATCCCCGTGTCCCCCTTCCATCCCCGTGTCCCCCTTCCATCCCCGTGTCCCCCCCATCCCCGTGTCCCTCCCATCCCCGTGTCACCTTCATCACCCTGTCCCCCCATCCCCATGTCCCCCTTCCATCCCCATGTCCCCTCCATCCCCATGTCCCCCCCATCCCTGTGTCGCCTTCATCACCCTGTCCCCCTTCCATCCCCATGTCCCCCCCATCCCCATGTCCCCCCCATCCCCATGTCCCCTCCATCCTAACATCCCTGTCCTCTCCTCAGCTGCGGAATCTCATCACGGATGTGTCCCAGCACAAGCTGCTGGTGTTTGCGGGGCCCTGCGTGGAGGACACGGGGGAGCTGATGCTGCAGACAGGCTGCTTCTCCCTGCGGGACTTCATCCAGATCTTCACGGACAAGGAGGTGCGGTGCTGGGCACCCCCACGAGGGACCTGCCTGTTCCCCCTGGCCCTGGCTGCATCCTGCCCTTTGGGGTGGGAGTCCATGGGAAGGGTGCCCTGTGCTTGCCAAGGGAAGGGGGGCTGAGACACGGCACCCCTGGGTGCCACATCCCTCCTGATGCTGTCCCCTCACAGGTTGGGGAGATCCTGAGCTCTGCAGACCCCTCCACCAAGGCCAGGTTGACCATCAGCTGCCCTGACTTTGGGGAATGGAAGGACTCAGGCTTGGACCATCACAACCTCCAGGACTTCATCGAGCTGCGTTACAACCCGGGTTGCATCCTACCGGAGATGGAGGGGCTGGAGGAGTTCATGGAATACCTCTCGGAGTCACTGGAGCCCCAGTCCCCCTTTGACCTCCTGGAGCCCCCCACCACGGTGGGCTTCCTCAAGCTCTCCAAGCCCTGCTGCTATATCTTCCCTGGTGGGAGAGGGGACTCTGCTTTCTTTGCTGTCAACGGCTTCAACGTTCTGGTCAACGGAGGCTCTAACCCCAAATCATCCTTCTGGAAGCTGGTGCGGCACCTGGACCGCATCGACTCCATCCTGGTGACGCACGCAGGCACCGACAGCCTGCCCGGTGTCAACAGCCTCCTGCAGAGGAAACTGGCAGAGCTGGAGGAGGATCCATCCCAGGGCTCGCAGGGCAACGGGGACTGGGCCAAGAACCTCATCTCCCCGGAGCTGGGCGTTGTGTTCCTCAACGCCTCCGAGAAGCTGAAGGACATCGAGGGCAACTCCCGGGTGCTGAAGAGCTGCGATGAGGCTGCCCTGACCCTGCACTACCTGGAGAAGCTGGGCATCCGTCCCAACCTGCTGGCGCGGGACAGCGGGCCCCGTGCAGAGCCCACCGTGCTCTTCCAGAAGATGGGAGTGGGCCGCTTGGACATGTACGTCCTGAACCCCGTCAAGGGCACCAAGGAGCTGGAGTTTCTCCTGCAGCAATGGTCCGGTAACGGCTACCCCAAAGAGCAGGACCTGCCCCTGCAGTGCTTGACCTCGGTGTGCGCCCTGCTTGTCTGGCACCCCGTCAGCCCATCCGAGAAGATCATCCGGGTCCTGTTCCCTGGCTGCACCCCCCAGGGCCGCATCCTGGAGGGGCTGGAGAAGGTGAAGCACTTGGAGTTCCTCAAGCACCCTGTGGTCACCAAGAATGACCTGAAGGGGCCGGTGGCTTCCCAAGCGGAGAAGCCGCTCAAGCAGAGGAGGGCAGAGAGCAAGGAGAGCCTCAAGTCTGCTTCCAAGCTCAGTTTGGTGGATGCTGGGGCGCCGGTGCCAAAGGAGAAGACTCCAAAGGTGGAGAAGAAGGAGGTGAAGGCAGTGACCAAGGAGAAGCCAAAATCCCTGGGGGAGACGGCCAGGGCAGGGTCAGAAGAGGAGAGAGCCAAGGATGCTCGAGCCAAGCTGGACTCTTCAGTGGAGAAGCTGAAGGCGGACGCAAAGCTGAAGGTGAGCAAGGAGAAAGCGGTACCCAAGAAGGAGCCTGTCCCCCGGAAAGAGGAGAAGAAGCCGCAGAGGAAGGATGAGGGGAACGAGGTGAAGGCGGAGGCCAAGAAGGAGGTGAAGGCGGTGAAGAAGGAGGTGAAGGCTGAGACGCTGCGGAAGGATGCGAAGGAACCCAAGGTAGAGGCCAAGGCTCCTGCCAAGACCCCAGCACGGAAAACACCGATCCCAGAGGCCCGCAAACCCCTGGCCAAGGCTGGGAGCATCAAAAAGCCCCTGGTCAAGAAGGAGCCTGAGAAGCCCAAGGCCAAGGCGCCACAAAGGGATGCAGGGAGCAGGAAGGAGCCGGGGACATCGGACTGCTCCAAATCCTCCTCTCCTGAGGACATGGGGCCCGAGGCCACACCAGGGGCCGGCAGGAGGAAGGAGGAACCCACTGAGGGTGAGCTGGAGCCCCTGCCGCTGGAGAACGGAGCGGGCAGGGGGCCGGGGGGGGACTCCTCCTGCCTGGAGAACGGCCTGGAGGACCCCGACAGCCCCCAGCGCTTCCGCTATGCAGAGAACAGCCCTTTGCGAGCCGTCTGCCCCCCGTCCCCCCTGGCCAAGACCCCCAAGAGTGACCGCAGCGTCAACTTCGACCTCACACCCACCGGGATGCTCAACCACGGCCCTGAGGGTGCCGAGGATCCCTGCGGCAGCTCCGAGGAGAAGACCTTGGAGATGATGTCCCCGGCCAGCTCGGGGCTGGCCAGTGCTGGTCACACTCCCTTCCATCAGTCCCCGGTGGATGATGGTGCAGAGGAGCCAGGCACTGGCACCAACCGGCAGCCAAACCCATGGCCTCCGAGCGGGGGCAAAGCACCGCAGGATGGCTCCGGCTCCGCCGGCTGCCTCTCCCTCAGCCCCTTCAAGGATGATGTCCCCGATGTGTCCCCCACCATCACCACCCCATCCCTGCCGGCCGAGGTGGGCTCCCCGCACTCCACTGAGGTGGATGAGTCGCTCTCGGTCTCCTTCGAGCAAGTGCTGCCCCCCGTTAGTGAGTCCCCCCCGGATGAGGGCAGGCGGTCCCGGGGGGGTGCCGGGGGCACACCGGAGCCGGATGCCACCACCAAGGGTGGGTTATCACTGCCGCTGCGGCCGTGCCACCACCCACCGTGGGCTGATGGCGATGGGGGGCCGCGGCCCGGCCGCCGCTCTGACTCACCCCACGACGTGGACCTGTGCCTGGTGTCACCCTGCGAGTTCGAGCACCCCAAGTCGGAGCGGTCACCCTCGGCCGCCGCCAGCCCCCGGGAGCTGTCGGACAGTGACCCCTCACAGGAGCTGCTGCAGCACCGCAGCCGGGGCGAGACCCCCCCGACCTCCGTCAGCGAGTCACTGCCGACCCTCTCGGACTCCGACCTCCCTCCGGCCGCCGAGGACTGTCCCTCCATCCTGGCCGATGGGCTGGAGTCGGACGAGGACTCGGAGCAGCCCCATCGTGGCACAGTCAGGGCCCGTGACCCACTGCCGGCCCCAATGAAGGATCCCTGCCCCATCCCTGCCCAGCCCGGTATCTGCATGGTGGACCCCGAGGCGCTGCCAGCCGAGCAGAGCCGCGCTGGGAAGAAGGACCCACCCGGTAAGGTGAAGAGGACCCTGTCCCGAGCGGGCTCAGCACCCACTGCCCCAAGGGCTGAACCCCCCCGGCACCCCAGCTCGACCCCCAAGCCCAGGACCCCCGCCAGTGCTGCCCGTGACAGCGGGGACAAAGCCAAGCTGCTCCTTGGGGACAAGAAGGGGCTTTCCAGTGGGGACACCCGCACCACGGGGACCACTCGCAGCGCTGGAGCCCGAGCTGGCCAGGCTTCACTCGCAGGTATGGGGCTGGGTGGGGATAGGGGTGCTCCAGCTCCCGGTGTCCCTGTCCCCATGGGTCTCACAGTGCTGTACCCCCATCCCTCCAGGCACACAGGCTGCAGCCCCCCCGAGCCCCCCTGTCTACGTGGACCTGGCTTACCTGCCCGGCTCCTGGAGCGCCCGCACTGTGGATGAGGAGTTCTTCCGGCGTGTCCGGTCCCTCTGCTACGTGGTCAGTGGTGATGACCACCTGAAGGAGGGGGTCCTGCGGTCCCTGCTCGATGCCCTGCTCACCGGCAAGCACCAGTGGGGCACTGACATTCAGGTGAGCCCCCCCCCCCAACCCCATATCCAGAGCAATGGGGTCACCCCCTTCCCAGTGCAGTGACGGTGATGGTGTCTTTGCAGGTGACCTTGATCCCAACCTTTGACTCGCTGGTGATGCACGAGTGGTACCAGGAGACCCACGACCGGCAGCAGGAGCTGGGCATCACGGTGCTGGGCAGCAACAGCACCGTGGCCATGCAGGATGAGACCTTCCCTGCCTGCAAGGTGGAGTTCTGAGGGGTTTTGGGGTGGGGGGGGGCACAACAGCGTGGGCTTCATCCTCATCCTCTTCCTCCTCTGTGAGCCTCCCCCAGCCCCCATCCACACCCAGTGTCTTGGGGCTGCATCAGCCCTTGCCCACTGCGGCTCAGATGGGAGGGAGATGGGATCGTTTTGCCCCCCCCCGGACTGTGAGGGGCTCCCCCCAGCCCACAGCACTCACATGCTGCACCCTCCCATGCCACGTGGATCCTGCATGCCCACGCCAGAGCCATGCACTCCTCACTCTGCACCCACTGCCATCCTTCAGGGCGGTGGGGGGGGCTGAGGGACAAGGATGGGGGGACCCTGCCTTTTTTTGGGGGGGGACACAGTATCCATGTGTGTGTATGTGTGCGTGTCCGCATCCAACAGCGGTGCTCCAATGAACAGGGTAAATCTTGTCATTTGCTGTTCCTACCCACCTGCCCCAACCTTGGACAAGCCACTACTGCCATCCCCCCCCCCCCGGCATCCACAGCCCTGCCTTTGGGGGGCTCCAGGTCTCCTTTTTGGGGGGCTGTGGTTGCTGCTGCCATGGGCTTAGTCCCTGGCCCCTTGTGTCTTTGTGTGTGTGTGTGTGTGTGTCCCCATGGGCACAATCAGCCCCTGTGGCTGCCAAGAGCAGTTCTATGCCCCCCACTTCACATGCAGCAGCTTTTGGGGGGGGGGGGGGATGATCGTGGCCTCCCCCCAGCCTGAGCCCCTTCATTCACCTCCAAACTACTGGAAAGCTGTTGAGAAACCAAATGTTCCGGGTGGTTTTTAAGGGGGTTTTTGTGAGTGGAGAGCAAAGAGGGGTTTGGGGGGGGGGGGGGCATGTCAGATCCTCCCCCCCCCCTCCCCTTCACACACCCCCCCCGGAGCAAACACTAAACCTGTTTTATAGGAGGCTCCTGGCGGCTTCTTTTTGTAATGACTTTTTAAGAAAAAGCTAAAAAAAAAAATAGAAAGAAAAAGCAAAAACTTGAACAAAAACCAAACGTGGTTCTATGGGGGGGGGATGGGATATTTGGGATATTTATCTGTAGCTCCCCCCACCCTGGGGGCTTTTACCTTGGATTGTATTGTCCTGTGTGTTCAGGGAAGGGGGGGACTGAATGTTTCACCTGTAGTGCTTTATATATTTCTTTCTTAGCTGGAAGCTGGGTTGGAAGGGGGGGGGGGTGTTAATTCTGCCCCCCCAAACCCCTTCCCATGGATGCCGGCACACTCCCTGTCTTGCACGCCACGTTAATGTGTTGAAATGAGCATTAAAGAGAGGATAGCTCCGGCCTCGCTGCCTCCTGTGCTGCAGGGGGGGGGGTCCCTAGGACTGTGGGGAGGGGGGAACCATGGGGTGCTGCAGGAGGGTTTGGGGGTGTTGGTTGGGAGGGTGTGTGGGGTCGCATCCTGCACTGTGCAAGGGGATGGGGGAGCAGAGCATGGCCCCGGGGGGGTGGTGTGGATGTGGGACTGAAGGGGGGAGATGCGGGGCTTGTGGGGAGGGGGGGGATGTGGGTGGGGGGATTGGAGCAGGGCTGGCGCGCCAGCGCGCTGAGGATGGATGGATGGATGCGGGGTTGCCATGACAACTGCATCCCCATCCCCATCCAAACGCCCCCGGCCTGCAGAGGAGGGGGCTGCAGCCGCTGCCCCCGCACGGGGAGGGGGGGATGGAGCCTCATTGGTGCTGGGGGGGGGGGGGGCTGTCCCACGGCCCCGTGTCCCGCTGATGGGGCTGAACCCCCACCTTGGACCATGGAACCAAGCCCCACCCTCACCCCTAAACCCACCCCCAACACTGCCCCCCCCTTCCCCAAAACCTCCCCGGTGGGGCCGTGGCAGCGCCATGGGGAGGGGGCTCCGTGCTGTTGGGGGGGCCCTGGTACTGAGGCCGGTTGCGGCTGCAGCACCGAGGCTGGGGGGGGAGCGAGGCTGTTCCCGGTGCTGCCGCTGTCACCGTCCCGCTCCGGCACCGCAGGACAAGGGACAATGTGGAGCCCGCCCATCCCCGGTTCCCCCGGTGCGGGGCCGGTTCCCATCTCGGGACCGGGGGGGGGGGGGGGGTTGAGGTTGATTTCCCCGGTTCCCGGTCCCCACCGCCGGGAGCAGCCCCCGGCCGCGCAGCTGCGCCCGGTGTCAGCCGGAGCCGGGGCATGAGCTCAGCGGGGTGCGAGGCACGGGGTGGCACCGGCGGCACCGCGGCGGCTGCGGGGTGCGAGCGGCTGCACCGGGCGCCCCGTGGGGATGGGGCCAGCACCGGCACCCGGTGCCGGTGTCTCGGGGCCCGCCCCGCATCCCCCGCATCCCCCCCCCAAAACCCCGCGCTGTTGGGCGGCGGCCGCTTTAAAAATGCAAATCAGCCCCCTCCCCTCTCGCGGCGCGGCGGCGGCTCAGCCAATGAGAAGCGGCGGCTGCTGGCTGCGGTAACCGCTGCCGGGCGCGGGGGCCAATCGCGACGAGGCGCGGCGGGAGGGAGGCGTGGCCTGAGCCACCCCCGCCCCCGGCGCGGTCCCGTCCCGGAGCGCGCGTCTCGGAGCGGGCGCGGGGCGGCGGCGGAGCGGGAGCGGGATCGGGAGCGGGGCCGGGGCGGGAGCCCCGCAGGTGAGTGCGGCCCCGCAGCCGCCATGGGGAGCTCCCAGCGCCCTCCGCGGCCCCGCGCACCGGAGCGGGCTGCGGCACCCCCCGCTCCCGCAGCATCCCCCCCTCCCCGGGGCAGCCCCGTTACGGCCGGACCCCTCCCGCGCTGTGTGCGGGGCTCCCGCTGTAGCGCGCCCCGGTGCCCCCCCTTGTTTCTCCGTGCACGGTGCGGCTCCCCCCCCCCCCCCCCCCCTTGCCCTCCCCACATCGCCGCTCCCGGTGCTGCGGGCTCGGTGCTTTCCCTCCTTATTCTGGAAGGAGCATCCCCCCCCCGCCCGCCCGCCCTGCACGGGGGGTGCCGGGGTGCACGGTTCCCCCCGCTCCGTGAGCACCCCCCTTGCCCTGTAGCTGCAGCCCGGGTGGGTCCAGCCCCCCCGCAGCTCCCCGCACCCCCGCCGGTGAAGGTCACCGCTGCGGTGCCCAAGGGCTGCCCTATTGGGGTGTCCGGGGGGGGGGGCCCTGCCGCAGGACGGGGCGATGCTGAGTGTCCCGTGTCCGTGTGTCCCCCCCTCCGGTGCCCCCCGTTCCGCTCGGGGCCGCTGCCGCCTCCGGGGACTTTGGCCTGGGGGGGGGGGGGGGGTTCGCGGCTGCTGCGGCCGCTCGGGACCGGACGCGGGCTGGGGTCCGGTACCGGGGTCCCCCCCTCCCCTCCCGGCCCCGCTCCTGCTCCATCCTGCCCGGGGGGGGGGGGACGGGGACCGCGCTGAGCCCGCCCCACTCATGACACAGGTGGCTGAGCCCGTGCGGAGGCGCTGGGGGGGCCGGGGGCTGTGCCCTCACCTCTCCTTGTCTCTTCCCTCCCCCCAGACCCCCTGCGGACAAGGATGATCGGGGGGGGCCCTGGAGCCCCCAAGCAGCCCACGGTGAGTGGGGTCCGTCCCCCCCATCCCACCAACCCCCAGCCATGCACCAGCCTTTGAGTTTCCTGTTTATCTCTGATGGGGAGCAGGGCCGGGGGGGGCACAACTTGGGGGTCCCCTGATGGGGAGGGGGGGTGCTCCGATGTGGGACCCCCAGCATGGATGAATGCGTTTGGGGTGCAGCAAAAGGGGGGTCCCCGTTTGTGAGGGACAGAGGCTGCCGGGGGGGGGGCGGGGTTGGTTTTGGGGGGGCCATTGGGAGCAGCCGCCACCACGCAGCAGCAGCAGCAGCTCATCTATTATTCAGCTGCGTATCTGGTGTCGGGCCCAAGCACTGCCCCAGCGGCCCCCCCCCGGGCGCTGCACACCTTGGGGACAGGGGTACAGCCCGGGGGGGGGGGGGTGTCCTCACCGAGCCCCCCCCCCCATCCTGATAAGAGCCAATGTTTCCATAGGGCATCGGGAGCTGAGCTGGGGGGGGGGTCCCCACGCTGCTGTCTCCCCCCCTTTCCTCCTCCAAGATGTCCTACTTCACTGAGCACTTCTGGGTAAGCCTGGACCCCCCCTATGCGTGCCCCCCCACCATGGGTGCCCCCATCTATGGGTGCCCCTGCTCTTCCCACAGCTCTCGGAGGGGGGGGGTGGTTCATGACCTCCATTTGGCCCAACGCCTTCATTAACGCTGTGTGTTAATTGCTGTGGGGAGGGAAGGGGGTGATGGGTTCCCATGGGCCACCCCCCCTGGCCATGGTGCTGTCCCTGACCCCCCCCTTTCCCCATGGAGATCCCCATCCCAGCACTGGGGGGGGGAAGTTGGCATCGCCAGAGCGTGGCTGGTGCTTCCTGGTTCATCTCTGCCGGTGTCTGGCATCTTCCTGCATCACCCCCTTCCCCTTGCCTCAGTTTCCCCATGTGGGGCCACCTGCACCCTGCACCCACCACCTAGATTGGGGTGGGGTGGGGGGGGCAAGCAGGCAGCACCCACAATAGCACCCGGGTTAGGGGGGGGTGAGGGGGGGTCAGGCCACCCTGTTTGTGCTGTTTCCGCCCCAAACGGTGCTTCCTGTTGTGCACCGCGGTGGCAGCATCCCGGGGGGGGGGGCACTGGGTGGGATTTGGTCCCCCGCCAGGGCGAGAAGAACCACGGCTTCGATGTGCTCTACCACAACATGAAGCACGGGCAGATCTCCACCAAGGAGCTGGCTGACTTCGTCCGTGAGAGGTACCTGGGGTGTGATGTGAAGGGGGGGGGGGGTCCCCGCTATCGCCCGGTGCCATCCCCAGCACCTCCTGTCCCCAGGGCTACCATCGAGGAGAACTACGCCAAGGCCATGGTGAAGCTGTCTAAGATGGCCACCAATGGGACCCAACTGGGGTGAGCAGGGGGGCTGAAGCACCCCGTGATGGTTGAGAAGGGGGGGGACCCTGCTCACCCTTGCCCTGGTGTGTCCCATCCTTGTTCCCCGCACCCCGATCCCAGGACCTTTGCGCCGCTCTGGGAGGTTTTCCGCATCTCCTCGGACAAGCTGGCCCTTTGCCACTTGGAGCTGATGAAGAAGCTCCACGACCTCATCAAGGAGATCTCACGCTACGGCGAGGAGCAAGGCCGGGTGCACAAGAAGGTACCGCATCCCCCCCCCCCATCCTCCCCATCGCACCCCAAAACCCCTGTCCCCCATTCTACCCTATGTGTTTCCCTCCCCAGTCCAAGGAGGAGGTGTCGGGGACGCTGGAGGCTGTCCAGATGCTGCATGGGGTGGCCCAGTTGCTACCCAAGTCCAAGGAGAGCTACCACAGCAAGTGCCAGGAGTACGAGCGGCTCCGCAAGGAGGGCACCAGCCAGAAGGAGATCGACAAGGTCGACCCTGCCCCATGTCCCTGTCCCCATCATAGGGATCCCGGTCCCTTCCCCACCATGGAAGTGGGGGGGATGCTCATTCCCACCACCCCATCCCACAGGCAGAGCTCAAGTCCAAGAAGGCCGGCGAGGCGCTGCGCAGGGCGGTGGACAAGTATAACGCTGCCCGCGCCGACTTCGAGCAGAGGATGCTGGACTCGGCCATGGTGGGTGGCACCGGTGGCCTTGGGGACCCCTCTCTCCATGGGGCCAGGCCACCCCAACTGAGCCCCCATGCCCTGGTGATGCCAACCATGCTGAGCCCCTCTTCATGTTGACGCCAGCCCCGTTCTCAGGGGGCTGAGCCCCGTTCCTTGGGTTGTGCCCCCCCCTGCCTGGGAATTCTGTTCCTTGTGGATGTGTCCCCATGGCTAAACCCCCATTGCCTGGGCATGGAACCCCTGGGGACACCCCCCCTCTTCCTCATCCCTGCTCCCAGCGCTTCCAAGAGGTGGAAGAAGCCCACCTGCGCCACATGAAGGGTCTCATCGGCTCCTACTCGCACTCTGTGGAGGACACCCATGTCCAGATAGGGCAGGTGAGTCCCCAGAGGGGTGAACAACAAGGGGGTCCCCCCCTTTTTACTGTGTCCCCCTCATCCTGCTGCTTCCTTCGCAGGTGCATGAGGAGTTCAAGCAGAACGTGGAGAACATCGGCACCGAGATGCTGCTGCGGAGGTTCGCCGAGAGCAAGGGCACAGGGAGAGAGCGGCCAGGTGAGGGGGGGGGGTCCCCCCTTTCACACCGGGGTGATGCTCCCCATCCTTGCATATGAGGGTCCTCGTGGCTCATCCTGCTCTCGCCTGCAGGGGTGCTGGACTTTGAGGAGTACCGGCTGGCCCCAGCGCTGGAAGGCAAGTACGTCTGCGCCCACAGCCCCATGGTGGGGATTGTGGGGTCTGGGGGGGGGCTGCTCACCACTCTGTGCTTCCCCCCCCCAACTCCTCTCCAGGACCCAAGAGGAGCCGTAGTAAAGCTTTCCGTATCCCTGGGTTGAGCCGTAAGGAGAGGGACCGTGATGCTGGGTAAGATCCCGCTCTCTGAGCATCCCCGCATCCCTTCCCAGCTCCGGGATCTAACACAACATCCCTGTTGTTCCCTAGGGAATCCCTGGATGCCGAGGTGGTGAGTGTCCCCGTGCCAACGCTGGGGTTGGCTTTCCCCACCCTGGGAAGCAAACACCTCCCTGAGCATCTCCCCGCAGGGCTGCCCGGAGGTGGATGAGGACGGGTTCACCGTGCGCCCCGATGTCACCCGCAGTATCCTTGTGTTGGAGCAGACGGGGGGGTGGTGGTGTCAGTTTTGGGGTGTCTGAGGGCTGGGTGTTGCCTTAACGGGGGCCCAGCCGAGGGGGAGAACCACGGCTGCTCCTCCAGCGATTCCGACTACGACGAGGACGAGCCCCGCAAGTTCTACGTCCACATCAAACCCGTGCAGCCCCGGGAGGCACCCGGCAGCGCTGAGGCCACCATGGAGCAGCTCAAGGCCACTGTGGGGAACCTCATCCTGCCCCCCAGCATCGGGGTGAGCTTTGGGGGGGATGCCAGGAAGGGTCCCCAAGGACTCTGCTGGGGCCAACTTGACGCCGGGTCCCCATTCTCTTGCAGGGCACCGTCAAGAGGCAGTCATCCCGTAAGTGCCACCCCGGGGGCTCGGTGCAGGTTTAGGGGACCCCCCTGGCTCCATGTCCCCCAACGCTGCCTGTCCCTGTCCCTCCGCAGGGCATGCAGCATCTCTGACCCCAGCCCCGAGCGATGTGGACTCTGAGGGCACACTGGCAGCAGGTCAGGCTGTGCTGGGGTTATGGGGGGGGGGGCAGTGCTGGGTTTTGGGGTACGCTGGTTGTGCAGCACCCACCGTGTCCCCTCTCCCCATAGGTGACAGTGCAGGGAGGGGGTGCCCAGCGGCGCAGATGAGCAGGTACAGGGTGAGGGGTGAGCGGGGCGCTGTGGGGTGATGCCACCCCCAATCCCCCCTCTGAGGGGGGGTCCGGATGGGCTCTGAGCCCCCCTCCGCTCTGTGCCCTGCGCAGTGGCCCTGGGAAGGCTCCCCCGGCCGCCGCCCCCCCCTCTGCTCTCTTCGGGCCCCCGCTGGAGTCGGCTTTTGAAGCGGAGGAGTTCCCGGGTGAGGACCGGGCCGGGGGGGGGGAGGCAGCGATGGGGCAGACCCCGGGGCTCGGATGCTCTGGCGCTGACCCTGGGGATGGGGGGGTTCTCCCCGCAGCCCCCCGCTCCTACGTCCTCACCTCCTCATCCTCGCCCTTCTCCTCCTCGTCCCCGGAGAACGTGGAGGACTCGGGGCTGGATTCCCCATCGCACCCCGCGCCCGGACCCTCCCCGGACTCCAGGCCTTGGACACCGCAGCCGGGGACCCCGCAGAGCCCCCTCCCCAAGCAGGGCAGCTCCCCCCCACCCCCGCCGGCGCTGCCGCGGCCCCGCAGCCCCTGCGGCCGCCTCCCGGAGCCCCCCGGCTTCGCCGTCTTCAGCGGCCCCGGAGCAGAGGGGCTATGGGGGGACGCGGCGCGGGGGTCCCGGGGCCGCAGCAGCCGAGCGGGGCCCCGAGAAGCCCCCTCCCCGGACCCCTTCGGGGAGCCCCTCCCCTGGGTCCGGCCCCGCAGCCCCGGTGGGGACCGGCCCCGTCCTTCCTCCAACTCCGCTTCCTCCTCCTCGTCCTCCCCGGCGCCGCCCAGCGCGGGGGGCTCCTGCAGCCCCTCGCCATGGACCTGCCAAGGGTCGGGGACGGGGTCGGGGTCGGGGCTGAGCGAGGGCAGCGCGGCCGTGGCTCCCCCCCCACAGCCGGGTGAGTGATGGGGGTGCAGGAGCTGCCCCCGTTACCCTTAGCTCTGTGTCGTACCCCCCCCCCCCCCAGGGTCTCACCTTAAGAACAGGGCTGAGACCGGACCAAACTCATTGCATGGCTGAGACCTCATAGACCCCCCCCGGGAGGTTCTGCCATGGTGGTACCCCAGCACCCAGCTCCCCATCACTGCATCCCCAGCTCCCAAGGATGCTCAGACCCCCTGGGAAAACCAAAACTCCCATTTACCCAGCACCCAGCTCCCCATCACTGCATCCCCCAGCTCCCAGGGATGCTCAGACCCCCTGGGAACCCCAAAACCCCCATGTACCCAGCACCCAGCTCCCCATCACTGCATCCCCCAGCTCCCAGGTATGCTCAGACCCCCTGGGAACCCCAAACCCCCATGTACCCAGCACCCAGCTCCCCATTGCTTCATCCCCCAGCTCCCAAGGATGCTCAGACTTACTGGGAACCCCAAAAAGCCCAAGTACCCAGCTTCCCATCATGGCATCCCCAGCTCCCAAGGATGCTCAGACCCCCTGGGAACCCCAAAACCCCCATGTACCCAGCACCCAGCTCCCCATCACTGCATCCCCCAGCTCCCAGGGATGCTCAGACCCCCTGGGAACCCCAAACCCACATGTACCCAGCACCCAGCTCCCTATTGCTGCATCCCCAGCTCCCAAGGATGCTCAGACCCCCTGGAAACCCCAAACCCCCATGTACCCAGCACCCAGCTCCCCATTGCTGCATCCCCAGCTCGCAAGGATGCCCACCTATCCCCAGGAAAGCACCCCCATACACAGCTCCCCATCACCACCTACTTCTTTATCCCTTCTCCCCCACCCCCCCCAGATGCTGCCCCCACTTGGCCCAGCGCAGCCCCCCGGGATGTCCCACTCGTGGCCCCCCCACGCCGCTCCCGCACCAAGAGGCCGGCAGCCGGTCCGGCTGCGGGCAGCAACAGCGACCTGGTGCGTGGCCAGGGATGTGGGGACCCCCCCCTCATCATGATGGGGGTCAAACCCAGACACCCCCCCCTCCGATGCTGTCTTGCCTTGCAGTCGCGCTCACTGAGCCCCTCTCCCTCCTGGAGCTGCGGCCCCTCACACTCAGCCCCGGCCAGCCTGGGCGAGCGCGGCTTCTTCGCTGTGTCCCAGCCGGCGCTCGGTGGGTTTTGGGGGGTCGGGGGGGGGTGTCACAGGTTTTGGGGGTTCCAACCGAGCTCTGATCCTGTCCCCATCCCCAGGGCTGTCGCGGGGTCCCAGCCCCGTGGTGCTGGGCTCGCAGGATGCGCTGCCCGTGGCCACTGCCTTCACGGAGTACGTCCACGCGTACTTCAAGGGGCGAGATGCTGACAGGTACCGGGGGTACCGGGGGGGGGGGGTCAGGGTTACCCCCCTGAGCACTGCACCCCATTGCTGACCCCCGGCCTGTCCCCGGCAGCTGCCTGGTGAAGGTGACGGGGGAGCTCACCATGTCCTTCCCCGCTGGCATCATCCGTGTCTTCAGTGGGAGCATGGCCCCCCCAGTGCTCAGCTTCCGCCTGCTCAACACCGGCGCCATCGAGCAGTTCCTGCCCAACGCCGAGCTGCTCTACAGGTACCTGGGGACACGGTGGCACTGCGACAGGATGGGGACACCCCAGCTGGTATTGGGGTACCCGGGATGCAGGGACCGTGGTGGATGCTGGAGAGCTGGTAGTTGGGTACTGGTGGATAGTGGGCACCCTGGGAGGTGGTGGTGGGGTACAGAGAGTGCCAGGGGGGCACAGGTGTCCTAGGAGGGGACATGAACACTGATGGGGAGCTGTGTATCGGGGTGCTTGGTTTCCTGGGAACATCCATGGGAGATGCAGTGATGGGAAGCTGGGATTTTGGGGTTCCCAGAGGGTCTGAGCATCCTTGGGAGCTGGAAGATGCAGTGGTGGGGAGCTGGGTACCAAGGATCCCAGGGGTTCTGAGCATCCTTGGCAACTGGTAGATGCAGAAATGAGGAGCTAGGTACCAGCGATCCCAGGGGTCCTGAGCATCCTTGGGAGTGGATAGATGCAGTGATGGGGAGCTGGGTACCAGGGATCCCAGGGGTCCTGAGCATCCTTGAGAGCTCGTAGATGCAGTGATGGGGAGCTGGGTACCAGGGATCCCAGGGGTCCTGAGCATCCTTGAGAGCTCGTAGATGCAGTGATGGGGAGCTGGGTACCAGGGATCCCAGGGGTCCTGAGCATCCTTGAGAGCTCATAGATGCAGTGATGGGGAGCTGGGTACCAGGGATCCCAGGGGTCCTGAGCATCCTTGAGAGCTGGTAGATGCAGCAATGGGGAGCGGGGTATTCGGGTGCTGTGTTCCCAAGCTGCCCAGGCACCAGTGCTCACTGACCCCATCCTGGCAGCGACCCATCCCAGAGCGATCCCAGCACCAAGGACTTCTGGCTGAACATGGCTGCGCTCACCGGGCACCTGCAGAAGCAAGCGGAGCAGAGCCCGACCGCCTCTTACTACAACGTGGCTCTGCTCAAGTACCAGGTGAGCCCCTGGAGGGGACAGAGCCGGGTCCCCTGCTCCTGGGGGCAGCAGGGTCCCGCTGACCCCCTGAACCCCCTCCGGTCTCCCCAGTTCTCACGGCTGGGCCCTGGTTCGGCGCCGCTGCGGCTCTGTGTGCACTGGGACTGCGCCCCGGGTACCACGAGGGTCAGCATCGAGTACGGCTACAACGGGGCTGCACTGGCGCTGCCCGTGCCCCTCGCCAACGTCCACGTCCTGCTGCCCGTGGATGAGCCCATGGCCAACCTGCGGCTGCAGCCCGGGGCCAGCTGGTGAGAGCAGGGGGGGGATGAAGGATGCACAAATGCATCCCACAGGGGACCCTGAGCTGGGAGATGTGGGTGCTGATGGGTGAGGGAGGTGGGATGAGGGTTATGGCAGGATGGGATTGGGGACATCATTGGGGTATGGGTGCTGATGGGTGAGGGATGTGGGATGAGGGCTAAAGCAGTATGAGATCAGGGGGCTTGGGGACATTGGGATGTGGGTGCTGATGGGTGAGGGAGGAGGGAATGAGGGTTAAGGCAGGATGGGATCAGGGGGCTTGGGGCCATTGGGATGTGGGTGCTGATGGGTGAGGGAGGTGGGAATGAGGGATAAAGCAGGATGGGATAAGGGGACTTGGGGACTCTGAGATGTGGGTGCTGATGGGGTGAGGAAGGAGGGAATGAGGGTTAAGGCAGGATGGGATCAGGGGGCTTGGGGACTTTGGGATGTGGGTGCTGATGGGTGAGGGAGGTGGGATGAGGGTTAAAGCAGGAGCGCATCAGGGGTCTGAGGCCTTGGGGCCATTCCTGTGTCCTGGCAGGAACCTGGAGGAGAAGAGGCTGCTCTGGAGGCTGCTGGATGTGCCCGGCGCTGCGGGGCAGGGAGGTGAGGACAGAGGGGACTGGGAGCCGGATCCGGGCTCGTTCCCCACAGCCCCCCCAACCCCTGTGCTGTGCCCCCCCCAGGCTGTGGCCAGCTCTCGGCCAGCTGGGAGCCGCTCTGTGGGCCCAGTAAGCCCAGCCCCGTGGCAGCGCAGTTCAGCAGCGAGGGCAGCACGGTGTCGGGTGTTGAGGTGGAGCTGGCGGGCGCCGGGTACCGCATGTCACTGGTCAAGAAGAGGTTTGCTACAGGTAGGGCTGGATGGGAGCAATGGGGGGAGGACAGGGTTCTCTCCTCATCCTCTGTGGCCCCAGGGTACATGGGGTCCCTTCCTTGCAGAGGAGAGGGTTCATTCCTTACTCTTTGGGGCGCATGGGGTCCCTTCCCTGCTCCTCATCGCTCTGGGATGCATGGAGTCCCTTTCCCAAGGTGGATGGGGTCCCTTTTCTAGAGCGCACTGGGGTCTCTTATCTGCTCCCTATGGCCCTGGGGTGCATGGGGTCCCCTTCCTACCACCCCAAGCTCCATTTTCCCCTTACTGGGTGATGCCCCATAGCAATGCCCCATAGCGATGCTCACCTCAGGAGGGTGCAGGTTGAGCCCTGGCCATGGGGCAGTGATGGTCCCTGTGCTGGATACGTGTCCCCAGCCCTTTGCAGCCGCCTCTCACCCCTTTTCCTCCACAGGGATCTATCTGGCGGGGTCCTGAGCTGACCCCCCTGGGCTTCCCCCTTGGTTGTGTGTGAAACACTGGATGGAGGCCGGTTGGGGAGGGGGTGCTGCCCTGTAGGAGCCCCCCTCCTCTCCCTCCTCATCTCCCTCCGGCCCCCCTGCTCCATGGCTGTCACTGCATCCCCTTCGCCCTCCCCTGTGCTGTGACGGGAGCAGGAGCTGCTCTTTTATTAAACACTTTATTTTCTAACCCCCCCTGCCACTTGGCTCCCACCTGCGTCGTACCCCGGAGCCCATCCCTATGGCCTCTGGGCTGCTCCATGGGAATGGGGCTCTGGGATGCGGGAAACTGAGGCAGGGAATGGGTGGTGCTCGGCTGAGTGCTTGTATCTGGGGGTGCTGCTGCCCAATCTGCAGTGGGTGGATGGAGGGAGGGATGGATGGAGGGAAGGAGGGAGGGAGGGAGGGAGGGAGGGATGGAGGGAGGGAGGGATGGATGGAGGGATGGAGGGATGGAGGGAGGGATGGAGGGAGGGAGGGAGGGAGGGAGGGATGGATGGAGGGAGGGATGGATGGAGGGATGGAGGGATGGATGGAGGGATGGATGGAGGGATGGATGGAGGGATGGATGGAGGGATGGATGGATGGATGGAGGGATGGATGGAGGGATGGAGGGATGGATGGAGGGATGGATGGAGGGATGGATGGAGGGATGGAGGGATGGATGGAGGGATGGATGGAGGGATGGAGGGAGGGATGGGTGGAGGGAGGGAGGGAGGGATGGAGGGATGGAGGAATGGATGGATGGAGGGATGGAGGGAGGGATGGGTGGACAGGCAAATGGATGGATGGAGGGACAGGCAGATGGTACCTGGCAGGGATTGTTTCCCAGCAGCACATCCCTTTGCCACCGGGCTGCAGTGCTCCTGGCTGCAGGGGAGGTGCAGGGTGAGGGTGGCCCCGGGCTGCCTCTGCAGACAGGTACCGGGGCAGCTCAAGCTCTTTGCAGTGCTCCCAGAACTGTTTGGTGCTGATGGGCTCTTGTTGGGGTCCCCGTGTGCTGCCCAGGGGACCCCTGTCCTGGGGCTCCATCCCTGAGGGTCAGGGCTGCTCACAGCAAACCCGGGCACCCAGGACCACAAAGGGGACCCCTCTCTTCAGTGATGCTGAGCTCTCACCCTGGGCATTGCTGAGTGCCAGCATCCTGCACCTGGCCCCATTTCTGCGTGGTTTTACCCCAAATCTGCCCTCCTGTGGCCAGAGGAGCCCTGAGGAAGAAGAAACAAACCGAACTTTACTGGAACCCCAAATCCCACCCGGATGGGGGCAGCGACAGGCAGGAGAGGGGGGAAAGGGGAACCAGGGGGGCATTACCTGGGGAGGGTGATGGGGACTGGGTCCCCTCATGCTGCACCCTCCGCTATCGCTGCAGCCATTGAAGCATCCCCGCGTTGTGTGCCTGGTGCTGGGGAGGAATGGGGGGAGCAGGGGTCGCTGCCCATAGGCTTTGGTCCATCCATCCCGCAGTGCCTCCACCTTGGCTGGGAGCACCGGAGGGCACCATCGCCCATGGAGATGCAGGAGGGAAAGCGAGGAGCCGCGCTCAAGGATGCCCGAGAGTGGGCAGCAGAGAGTTTGGTTCGTTCCGAGGCTTCTGCTGCTTGGGACTTCGCTGCCGCTGCTTGACAGAGCTGAGAGCAAGGCTGCGGTTTGGGTTCCTGACAGGACCTGGAGCTGGGGCTGACATCGATCAGTGTCAGGCACCTCTGTGGGGATCTGATGCCGTTCGACTCGCCTTTATCATAGAATCAGTGAATGGGTTGGGGTGAAGGGAACTTAAAGCTCCTCCAGCTCCAACCCCTGCCACGGGCAGGGACCCCTTCCACTGGAGCAGCTTGCTCCAAGCCCCTGTGTCCAACCTGGCCTTGAGCACTGCCAGGGATGGGGCAGCCACAGCTTCTCTGGGCACCCTGTGCCAGCGCCTCAGCACCCTCACAGGGAAGAGCTTCTGCCTAAGAGCTCAGCTCAGTCTCCCCTCGGGCAGGTTCAAGCCATTCCCCTTGCCCTGTCCCTACAGGCCCTTGTCCCAAGCCCCTCTCCAGGTTTCCTGCAGCCCCTTTAGGCACTGGAGCTGCTCTAAGGTCTCCCCTTCAGGAGCCTTCTCTTCTCCAGGCTGCCCCAGCCCAGCTCTCTCAGCCTGGCTCCAGAGCAGAGCTGCTCCAGCCCTCGCAGCATCTCCGTGGCCTCCTCTGGCCTCTCCCCAACAGCCCCATGTCCCTCTTGTGCTGCTGCCCCAGAGCTGGATCAGGGCTGCAGGGGGGGTCTCCCCAGAGCACAGCAGAGGGGCAGGATCCCCTCCCTGAGCTGCTGCTCCCGCTCTGGGGGTGAAAACTGTGCTTGGTCCAGCTCCCCAGCAAGGCAATCGTGGATTTTAGTCTGAAATCCCAGCTGCACACAAGAGCATCCCTGCAGGCGCATCCAGCTCATCTCAGCCGCTCTCCTCTGATAGAGCCCCAGGCTGGCACTCAAACAGGTCCATGGGCCCTTCGGTCCCATCCTGGCTGCTGGTTGGGAACGTGGCTGAAGCACAGGGTGGGACCTCAGTGACAGCACAGGGGATGCTGCGCCTCTGGCCCTGCTTTCATCAGCAGCCTCCAACCCCACCGGTTACATCCAGGGGAAAGGTCCCTGCTGAGGGGCTGCCCTGCAGCCAGAGGGGTGATTCTGGATCCCCAGCAAGGAAGCAAGAGCCCCTCCTGCCCCCTGCTCGCAGCAGAAGCGCCCTGGACAGGCAGTGCTGGACCGGGGCAGAGGGAGGAGAATGTGGGGCAGGCTGCAGGGGTTAAAAGCAGCCAGGCCAGTTGGGCAAGGAGCAGCACCAAACCCATGAGGAGCACCCTGCCAAGGTGCTGCGCCTGCCAGGCTGTGGGTCCCTGCGTGCCCTGTGATGCTGCATCTGGTACCCTGCATCCCTTCCAGTGGGGAATGACCCAGACACCTGGAGCCACCCTCCCTGCCCCAGTCTTTAACAAGCACCTAGACCCAAACGCAGGGCCCCATTGCACCCCTTGTTCTGCCCCACAAGGCCTCCCAGGGCCATGAATGGCACCAACCTGGGACATCCTGCGAGCCACATCTGGGGCTCCCACCCACCCCACCAGGACACTCCAAGGGCACTCAAAGACCCCTCCTTTGTAGGAGACCCCAAAACCGGTGATGATGAAAACCTGTGGCCATGGCACCAGCAGTGTCCTGAGAGCTGCTGCTGCCCACTGGTCCCCATGGCACCCATGGGTGCTGCTGTTTGTGGCTCACAGAACCACAGAATCAACCAGGTAGGGAAAGACCTTCGAGGTCATCAAGGCCACCCCTAACCCATGGCACCGAGAGCCTCGTCTACGTGGTTTGTGAGCACTTTAAGGGATGGTGATTCCAGCACTGCCCTGGGCAGCCTGCTCCAAGTCCCTACAGTAATAGGTGCTGCTTTCCATGGGTGCTACTGCCAGTGATCTCTGATGCTCCTTGGCTCCGGGTCCTCACTGCCTATGGGTGCTGCTGCCCATGGGCTGCTTCTCCCTCTGGGTCCTCAACTGCTCCCAACCAGCATCAGGTCCCCACACATCCCTGAGGGTGCCAGCTCTGGCAATGGGGGATTGGAACTTGATGATCCTAAGGTCCTTTCCAACCCTAACTATTCTATGCTAACGGATGCACTGCAGCGGATCAGCACACACCGGCAGCAGGGCGATGAACACCCCCTAAACCCCCCCCAAGTGCAATCCTGCAACAGGGAATACACAAAGCCACTTCCCAATGCAACCACTGATTGATCCCCAATGGCCCCAGGGCTGTCAGCAGCATGTGGCTCTCTAACAGATCACAGCATGTGCAGCCCATAGGCACAACGGGAGAACTCCATCATCAGCTGAGCTCCCAGCTGGGGAGAAAACAGGCACCCAGACAGCCCTTTGGTGGCTCATGCTTCCCAAAAGGGTCATAGAATCATGGAATGGTTTGGGTTGGAAGGGACCTTAAAGCCCATAAAATGACACAGGCAGGGGTCACTTCCACTGGAGCATCTCCAAGCCCCTGTGTCCAACCTGGCCTTGAGCACTGCCAGGGATGGGGCAGCCACAGCTTCTCTGGGCACCCCCTCAGCACCCTCAAAGGGCAAAGCTTCTCCCTAATATCTATGAGATTCCTTATTACCCACCTAAAGACGACAGCACCCAGGGATGCAGCAAGGCCCTGCGCTATTTGAGGGCCCAAATCCAAGCAGGGAGCCTGGTCCTGAGGATGCTGGAAGGGGCGCGGGCAAGTGAAGAGACCCCAGTGAGCACAGGACTTCGGATATAGTAAAAAGTCTTTATTAAGAAGGCTTTGAAGTCAAAAAATAAAACTCTTGATACAATTTTCATAACCGTCAAGTCAGCTCAGCAAATATATAATCAGTACTTTAGCCATGGAAGGTTAAAGGTCCGTTATTTTCTTTTTATTTAAAATAAAATATATTTTAGTCTTTAAAATTTATTCCATAAAGTAGATATTTTGCTATAAATTCCCTACATATACAGAAAGAGGTAAAAACTGAAAAAAAAAACCAAAACAAAACCAAACAAAAAACCCCCCCCAAACCAACCAAAACCCCACCAAACCAAGCACGAGATAAAGGAGATCGCATCTGTCTGCAACGTGGCGCGGTCACTGCATCCCTCCACCCAGCGAGGCCCCACGGCCCCGACCCCTGCCCTCGTGTCCCACGTTTTTGGGGCAGTTTTCACATTGGCAGAAGAGAAGGTAAGACCTGCATTACAAAACCAACAATAGAATATATATAGATATGTATCTATAGAATCTATAGAGGTGACAAAAATAATAATAATAAAAAAGGCTACGTACAAAAGGAACGAGGACAACAACAAAAAAAAAAAAGAGAGAAAAAAAAAGGCTTTGAATAGAAGGATTTTAAAAAAATAAAAAGACAACCCTCGTGTGTCCTAAAAAAACTCAAAAAGTGCAACCGGACCTTTTCTCTCTGGTTTATTTCACTTTGCACACTGAATACTGCTATTTGGGAAGGACTGTGGAAGAACAGCCGGGCTTCCTCCGCCCCACACCATGGCCAGGAGGGGGGTTTGGGGGGGTGTGTGTGGAGTTAAAGCTATTCTGTAAACACTGGAGATGCCTCCTCACTGCCCCTCATCATCATCATCTTCATCATCCCCATCCCTCCCGACCCATGGATGTCCT